GTGTGTCTGGTAGTTTGGGGGGGGTCTACCTGGTAACCCTATTTGGAGATGGGGGAGCGCGCAAAGTCTTCACCCACCCTGCGAGGAACCACATGTTCCTGGCAGGGCGGAGGAAACTTCATGCACTTCCTCCACCCCCAGGCCCTAATTGGCCTGAAGGTGGGGGAGTGGCAGAGTGTCTGCGAGCTGAATCAACCCGCTTGCCAGGCTTAGTTTGGGGGGGGTCTACCTGGTAACCCTATTTGGAGATGGGGGAGCGCGCAAAGTCTTCACCCACCCTGCGAGGAACCACATGTTCCTGGCAGGGCGGAGGAAACTTCATGCACTTCCTCCACCCCCAGGCCCTAATTGGCCTGAAGGTGGGGGAGTGGCAGAGTGTCTGCGAGCTGAATCAACCCGCTTGCCAGGCTGGATCCAGCTTGCAGAGGCCCTTTTGCCCGACCCTGGTCTAGCAGCATTACCAACATTTGTATTACTTGCTGGGCTCTTAGAAAATGTGTAGGGGTAAATTAGAGCTAAATAACAGCACAGAACACTGAAAGCCAGCGCTAGTAACTGTAAACAAACTTTATAGGACCACAGGAAACTTGGCCACACCTATGATAAGTAGACATGTGGCTAATCAACATCATGCCAGACCACTGATGTTGCCAGACCAGAGAGTGCTAGACAAGAGACATTCAACCTGTATTTGCTTTGACTAATGTCTTAACAGGAACTGTTTGGCTGTGAAGGAGTGGATATACTTATTCCATTAATGAAGATGGATCCAAATAAGTTATATAGCGGATTAGGTCATAACCGACTCCTTTTTAGCACTTTAGACAGTTTGTGGTAAGTGTGGAAATATTTTAACAACAGTAACTGTTAAAAGGAAGTCTTGTATTTTATGTTTGCAAGGTTGTTACTCTTCTCCTGACCTTTTACTTAAGGTGTTTAAACACTCAATATGCATTTGACTAAATCATAAAAAAATATTTTTGTACACAATTCATGCTAGATCTGGGGCTCAATCCTTGGTCCTAGGCCACCCACTTCCTCCTCCAACTCGACACAGGTGTAGTGTTGGGAATAAGAAGGAGTCATACCAGCGTGGGAGGTGAAGCACCTTTTGAACTCATCCTGCCCTCAACTACAGGGTACAAGTAGTATAGATTGAACTGTAAGCTGTTTCTGCCCCTAATCAACCCAGGTTTGAGGAACTAGAAAGGTGGTGGTGAGCTGTACTGAATAAAGATTGCATCACTGGTATGCAGAGATGTCCTTTAGGCACTGGTTTCAATCTTTAAATGATGCTATGAACTTGAGGAAGTAAAAAGTGGCTCTGTTTCCCCTGTTTCTGAGACTGGCTGAGGTCCAAATTAAGTTGTTCTAACCTACAGCAGCTGAAATAATTTGTACAATGTTGGGTTTGTTTTTTTCTGAAATGTACTTAAAATTAGTGGCTTCTTCAATCAATCAATCAATCAATTTTTAACACATTTTTTTGTTACATGCAATATAAAGTTGATATATTTAAATGCAGTGATAAAGTGATGGGCAGGGGCGGACTGGCAATCAAAATAGGCCCGGGAAATGGGTTGAGAACGGCCCACTTTCCAACATCAAAGAATTTTTTAAAAATTTACTCTTTGACCCCAATTAGCCACACCCCTGACCCCTGTTAACTACACTCTGGACCCCCATTAGCCACACCCCGTGATTCCCATTAGCCAGGCCTCTGGAGGTAACACTCTTGGGGCAAGATGGACACATGACCAGAAGTAAAAGCTGTCATGTGACCCCTCTAAGGACCTTTCCCACCATCCTCCTACCAATAGGGATTAGTTTGGCTCCCACCACCAAACTCCCCTCATGCAACTATCCTGCAATTGCATTAACCCAATGTGTGTGACATTAACTTGGGGCGGAGAGACTGGGGGAAGTGTTCCCTCTAAGAGTTTCCTCCCGTGATCAGAATGAATTTTGTGCTGTGCACCAGTACTGAATTCATGTAGCTTGTTTGGATGTGCTACTGTGGCACCCAAGTTATTAATAAATATATTATAAACCTTTACCTTTTTCCTCCTCTGCCATGTCTCCTCCCCTTGCACCATCAGCTCCCCTGATGCCTGCTACCCCCTAACCCTTCACCCTCCTCTGCTGTCCTGACTAGGACTCCTGCCCTTCTCACTGCCCTCAGCCCTCCTAAGACCCGCCCCCTTCCACCAGCCCTTCTCTCCCTGCTGTGCCCACTCCTCCAATAGCCTCACTCCCCCTCCTCATCCCCTCTCCAACACCTTCCTCTATACACCTGCCCTGCCTCTCTCCTCTGGTGCTGGTCCCTCCCCTGCAGGTGTCTGCCCTTTTGCTTCACCCCCAGAATCCCCTGGCACCTGCACCTTCCCTTACTCCTGCACACTCCTGGAGGCTCCCCCTTCCCCACTGCCTCTGCCCCCTTTGCCCTCTTTTTCCCTGATGCCCACCCCTCACCACCCTCATGCCCCTGTGCTCTCATACATGACTTGCTCCATCCCCATCTTCCTCTTGCCCATTTCTTCTTTCAAGCCTTATCCCAGCACCTCCCCCTCTCCTCTCCCAGCATCACCCTGTTCCTCCTCCCACTGATACCTCCCCTCCTGCCCTTTTCCTCATTGTCTCCACTTGGCCCCCTGGCATTTGTCTCTCCTCCACCCTGCCTCTTGGTGCCTTCCCCTTTCTTCTCCTGATTTGCCCCCTTCCCCTCAGCACAAGCCCCTTCCTCTCCCAGCCCTTCCTCCTATTTTCCCTCCCTCCCCACCTACCATCTACCTTCCAGTTTGTGGGGCTACAGTCAGTGATCGGGCCCCAGCTGTTTCCAGGGCTCCAGACCACGTGCCAGGCCTTGAGCTGGGCCGCGCGGTGCAACTCTGGGCTGAGCGCTTTTAAAGTCCCTGGCCATGACGTCACGCCATTCCCAGGCATCTTCCCTTTCACCTGTTGCATGGTTTTTGAGAACGTAATGTATGCCCTTCCTTGGCCCCACCCTTACCTGTACGTGGCCAATGTGCGGCGCAGGGGAATTTAAAGTGCGGGGCTGCGGTACCCCGTCACAATCCCCCTCCTCCTCCAGCAGCCTCCAGTCAGCCGTTTGGAGGACGGTCCACCAGGAAATTCCTGGGCCAGTCCGCCCTGGTGATGGGTACTGTACCACTTTTCTGTTTCCCAGTAACCTTTCTATGATATAACAAATTATATTTTTATGCAACACAGTAAATTATCTGAGTATTTCCTGGGTTGTTGTATGGTGTGAAAGGTGTTATTTTTACTCATGGAAATTATTTCCATTTAAGGTGCTGTGTCATGGGGTGTTACATCTCAGAGGATTATTTTCTCGAAAAAGAGGGCATTTTTCTCCTTCTGGATTTGTTGGCGGTAAGTAGTATTATTCAAGAATAATACTAATGAAGATTGCATCACTGGTATGCAAAGATTAACAGATAGACAAATACCAACTTCTCCTTTTTTGTTATCACTTCCCCTGAAAGTATCACATCAGTATGCAATAATATGTGAACCCTAGAGAAGTTAATTCATTCATTCTAAGTACTGTACCTACATACCAGGACACATGGACATATCATACGAGTTTCTAATTTTATATTGTTTTTTAAAAAATTGTCAGTGTTTATTTAATTCAAATTCAAATGTATATTTTAATGAATTCTGAGCTATATTAATTTTTACATATATATAAAAAATACAGAAATTAAACACATGATTAAGTCTCATTGAAATCAATAAGGATATACCTAAGCATTTCCTTAACTGCTTTTTAGGGCCTTAAAAGGTACTTTATAAACACATGGACAGCATTTTACTACTGGCAACCCAAAGTTATGGACTCTTCACATACAAGAGCTTATGCAAGATTTGTGAAAGTAATCTTGGTTTTTTGAATAGTTTGGGCCATAGAATTTCTCTGTTTTAGCAATGAAGATGAAATTTCTTTGTGTTCTAAACACCTTGCAAATTGTTTCTCTTTTCCTTGATGAAGTTAAAACAAAAGAACATATGCAACCTAATTCTTGGAATATTGGTTGAATTTTGTGACAATCCTAAAACTGCTGCTCACATCAACGCCTGGCGAGGGAAAAAAGATCAGACCACAGCTCGCCTTTTAATACATTTATGGAAACAAGAAGAGTTGGAGCTAGGAGTCAAACATGATCAAAATGGAAGAATTGTTGGTAAGAGTTAGCAGACTTTAAACAATCCATATGCAGTTTCATTGAATAAAGTAGAAAATAATTAATTCTTCTAACAACTGAGTTTTTTCAAATTTCTGTGTCATTGCTTCTTCATCTAACCAAGTGCAAAATATCTACACACACAGTTTCAGAGAGGTAGCCATGTTAGTCTATTTCAGCAAGAACAGCAAGGAGTTTGTTGGCACATTAAAAACTAACACATTTATTAGCATATTAGAGCATAAGTGCTCACAAAAGCTTATGCTCTAATACCCTAATAAATTTATTGTTTTATTTTAAGTTTTTTCAGTTAGAGTACATCTACTCTATGCTCTTATTTTGAAATAAGCTATTTTGGAATAACTTCCAGAATACTATGTTGAAATAGCACATCCACACTATAAATGTCGATCGAAATAGCACATCCACACAGATTGGAGACTGAATCGCATTTAAGGCCCCCCCGGAAGCACTCTGGGCAGGGCATCAGGACAGCAGTCACTTCCTGGAGCTGCTGCCTGAGGCTATCTGAGACTTGTGATTAAAGGGGCTCCCCTCTACAGCCATGTTTCAAGCTCTTCACCTTTGCCTGCCTCCTCAAGGGACAGCAAACTCATCTCACGGCGTGTTCTGGTTGCCCTTGCAGACACCGCAGCACTCCAGCCATGGAGCTGGACTTGTTGCAGAGCACTCACCGGTTCTTACACCTCATGCAGCACCTCCTGGTGCAGTTACTGCATGCTGCCCATGTGGCACTGCAGGAACAGGACTCACAGTTCACTTCAGGGCACCTCCTCACCTCTCTCCACATGCTGCTCATGCAGCACAACTCCTCTCATCTTCTCCTGCACTCCCTCCTTCTGGCGCTGGGATGTCAGTTTCCACTGGTGGGACCAGATCATCATAGAGCAGTGGGACAACCAGCACTGGCTCCAGAACTTTTCCATGCAGAAGGACACCTTCCTGGAACTGTGCGAGTGACTCGCTCCTGCCCTCCGAGGAAGGGACACCCACATCAGACCCACCATCCCTCTCCAGAAGTGGGTTGCTGTCGCACTTTGGAAGCTTACCATGCCAGACAGCTACCGCTCCATCGGGAGCCAGTTCAGTGTGGGGAGATAGACCGTCAGGGCCATGCTCATGCAGGTATGATTCACTCTCTGTTGTCCTAGGAGGGTGATGAACTACTGGAATGGGGTTCCTCGAGGGGGGGGGGAATCACCATCCCTAGAGCTTTTGCACTCCCACCTTCACAAAGCCCTGCAGGGGATGGGGTATGTTGGGGTTGGGGTTGGGCCTGGTGTGGGAAGGGGCTTGGGCTTGGGGAATTCCCGAAGGCTCTGGCAACCCTGTTATTCTATGTTTGTATCCTTCTACAGGTAATGAGGGCCATCAGTGCCATCCTGCTGCACAAGGTCATCATCCTAGGTGACATGGACCCAGTCATAGCTGGCTATGCCACCCCGGGCTTCCCCAGCTGTGGGACGGGGGCCATTGACAGCACACACGTCCCCATCCAGGTCCCCGACCACCGGTCCTCCAATTATATCAACCAGAATAATTATATCAACTACTTTTCAATAGTTCTGAAGGCCCTCACGGACCTTTGAGGCCAGTTCATCAACATCAACATCGGGTGGTTGGGGAAGGCGCACAATGCCCACATATTTTGCAACTCCAGCCTCTTCCAGAGGATGCACATCAGCACTTTTTTCCCCAACTGCACCATAAGGGTCATGGATGTGGACATGCCCATCTGCATCGTGGGGGACACAGCCTACCCTTTGCTCCCCTGGCTAATGAAGTCTTACACAAGATACCTGGACCCTACGAAGGAACATTTCAATGAGGCCAAGCAGCTTGCAGGGGCCTTTAAGCAGCTGCGCACCACTGCCATCCGGCAGGCCCATCAGAGTGATGTGTGCATCCGGAAGGCCCTGTGGGAGATTTCAGACAAGTACATCTGTGACATTCTCCCCTGGGCCTCCCCACGAGGGGCTTCTGCATTGCCCCTCTGTGTCTTTCCTCCTCCATCCCTCCCTTCCCCTGCCCTCCCTTCCTACCTTTCTCTACCTCCCCTCCCCTGCAGGCACAATAAACCACACTTTCTTTTGAAAGAATAAACTGTTTCTTTTTATTTGAGGTAAATATAACTTGGGAGGAACTGGAGAAAGAACCTGGGAGGGCAGAGGACGCATGAGGAGAGATTCAGGGCTGGGGCTGGGATTGGCGCCCGCTTCAGATGATCCCACCAGCTTGTGTGCTGGGCCCTTGGCAGACATGGGAGCAGAGCTAGGGGGAGAATCCGGAGGGGCAGGAGTGAGGTAAGAGCAGGAGTGGCAAGCAGAGCAGCAGTAGGAGGGGGGAGGAGTGGGGAGGGTGGAGAGGGAGGAGGAGCTGCTGCACCACTCAATGGCAGCCACCAGGCACTTGGCGGCAACAGTATATACCGTACACATGCTCCAAGCTTTCTGTGACAACTTCTGTGAGGTGGTGCAGCACAGCTCCAGGTTGCCATCCAACACGCAGAGCACACAGGCAGACGATGTGTTCCCTCTCTAGATTTTCCCAGGGTCACTGGTGCCACTGGGTCTCATGGGGTCATGAAGATGGCATGGGAGGTGGTGGACACGCCTCACTCACATCTGATCCAGTTGTGAAGAACAAGGGCAGCCATCCCAGGACACAGGGTGCATGAATCATAGCCCTAATGTGTGAGGCAACACAGAAAGGTCTCAGTTCAGACAAAGGCAATGTGCTTTGAGCAAGACCATCTGTGACCTAGACAGTGGGCTCTTTCCTGCAGGGACACAAATGTCCCAGGGAAGCCTTTCTACCCCCATGCTCTGGAGACAAGCAGGCATGGGAAGATACTGGCCAGGCTGGGAGCCTGCAAGTGGGAGAGGGGCGACAGGGCAGTTCGCCTTTCCTCTGTGCCGCACACACGCTGGATCTGACAGTGGCGGTGTTCCACAGGGAGAGGACTTCTACCCATCTGGGGAGAGGGGAGTTGGCAGTTGGGGGAGGTGTGTGTGAGCAGCAGATGCTGCTTGCTGGGGAGGGTGCTCCTGGAGTCCCCTCCTCTTCCTTCCCCCAGCAAGTTCCCATGGAGGGGCGCAGTGTCCTCCACCTCGCCATGCTTCGGGAATGGATGCTGCCCAAGAGTGCAGGCATGAGCCTGTGTCATGTGCGGCACTGCTGTGTTTCCCTGACCCCATCCTCCTTAATGGTGGCTTGTGCTGGGAAGGTGTCCCACCACGAGTCAGGAGTAAGACAGGCCTTTCCAGAAACTCTGTGAGCAGGAGCGCAAGCTTCCTTTGTGGCAGTCTCATATAGCTGGTTGCTATAGACTGGCACTCTGTGTGTACCCACATGCACAGGCTGCTATGAAATCCCCAGGTCGAGAAGGCCAAGTGAGGAGCACGCAGCCCCTCACAGCCCGCCGTCTCCCCACGTGTGTCTAGGGAAAGTAATAGAACTCACTTGATGGGCCTTCCCCAGCTTCATCCAATCCCTAGGTGACATCTAGCGGGGAGGAGTACCGGCTACAGAGACAGGCTAACCTCCTGGCTGGCAGGCATCATCTCCTGGCTGGCCTCATCTTCCTCCTTCTCCTCCCCGCTTCCCCTCCAGCCCAGAGTGCAAAACAAGGAGGGAGGGGGAAGGAACTGACCCCTCCCTCCCAGGATGTGGTGTAGCTGCTCACAATAGGGGCATGATTGGGGAACGCCTCTGAGCAGGAGCTCGGGAACTATAACATTTTGATGAATGTGGACAGAGTGGCCACCAGCACAGCTGTGAGAAGCCCTGGAGGCCACTTATTTTGAAATAATCACAGCTGCCCTGTCTACCCACACCCTATTTCAAAATACCTGTTTTGAAATAGGCTTTATTCCTCGTGAAACAGAATAAGAAACCTGTTGTTTCAAAATCATTTCAAAATAATAGGCTTGCTGTTTAGATGTTCACCTCGCTGCTGAGTAGACATGGCCTTACAGACTAACACAGCTACTCCTCTGAGACACATAAAGTGTTCATTGTGTTACACAAGTTTGCCACTAGGTGGCATTTGCTTCATTATCTGGTAAAAAAAATATTACTAATATTCTCAACTGTCCATTCCTTTGTAATGATTGACAGTTGAAGAGCTTCATTCTGCAGCTGTATAACAGCTGTGACCTTAAGGAGAGTTTTATGTTGTATTTCCAAGTATACTTGGAAGTGGGTTTTAGCTAATGCTGAGAGTTTTCTGCAAATAAGGTATATAGATAGCAAATGTGAAATAGTAAGAAAGCGAGAGTTTTATCGTCACAAGTAGTTATCAGTATTAATCAGCATTTCCTGTCCCAAATTCTGCCCTATTGCACACCAGATCAATTTCAGTTTTGTGTGGGTATACACTAAGTAAGATACCACTACCCCAGTTTTGGAGGAGGTGAGCAAGGATAAATAGTGAAATATACTGGTACAGTATATCGTATAGTATATAATAGTTGGCTAACATGAAGCCATAAAACCTATTTTTAAGAAATTATAAACGTTCCTGTATGTTTAATAACATGTAATCTGACACTTGCTAACATTTTGTTTGTTTGTGTGTTTTGTGAAATTACTAGACACAAAGAAACCTTTAGTTGGCAGCTTCCAGGAACAGCAAGAAGTGATCCCAATGCCTGCCAACTGTCCTAGCGTTGCTATCATGGAAGTATCTGAAAACATGAGGGCAAAAATTTATTCTATATTATGCAAGTTAGGTAAGAAGTACACATTGCTCCCCAATTTTCAAATTTGTCATCAAACTGAACTTCTTCACCAGAAGCACAGGAAGACTAGGTATCAGGGAAAAATAAGATAAGTTCTGGTATAGGCTTTCAGTGGAAAGTGTGGAGTCCCCCATCATTAGAAGCTTTTAAAAACAAGTTGGACAAAATACTTATTAGGGATGGTCTAGGTCAGGGATGGGCAATAATTGTTGATGGAGGGGCTACTCCCAAGATTTGGAAAGTGGTCAAGGGCCGCAATCTTCTATAGTATTAATGGAGGAGCTGTGGGGTCTGGGATGGAGGTTGGGTACAGAAGGGAGCTTGGGGTAAAGGATTGGGGTGCAGGAGGGAGAATGAAGTCTGGAAGGGAGTTTGGGTGAAGGAGTTGGTTGTGACTTAGGGCAGGGAACATGGGTGCAGGGTTCTGGGATAGGAGGGGATTGTGATCTCAGGCAGGAGATGGGGTACCAGATTGAGAGGGGGTATGGGTGCATATGAAGTAGCAGGGCAGGAGTGTGGGGCAGAGGGTTGGGGAAGGGAGGGGCTAAGGTGCCAGAGGCAGGCTGGTAAGTCTCCTGGTGAGACCCTGCCTCTGCAAGCCACCACTAAGGAGGATGGGGTCAGGGAAACACACAGCAGTGCTGCACACAGCCCAGGCTCATGCCCACACTCCTGGGCAGCATCTGTTCCCAGGCAAGCGCAGTAAGGTGGAAGACACTGAGCCCCTGCATGAGAACCTGCTGGGAGAAGGAAGAGGCGGGGACTTAGCACTCTTCCCGGCAAGCTAAAGGCTTGCAGAGCTTAAAATGTTTCTGCTTGTTTGGCCATGTTCTTGAGGGGGTTCGAACGAGGGTGGTTAATGTAGGCAACCGAAGTTGCAAATGAAGCCTGGGATTTAAATATCCCGGGCTTCATTTGCATATTGCCGGGCACCGCCATTTTTAAAGCCCCGCTAGTTCGGACTCCGTGCCCGCAGCTACACACGGCACGGAGTAGGTAGTTCGGATTAGGCTTCCTATTCTGAACTACCGGTACTCCTCGTGGAACTTTAAACTAGCGGGGCTTTAAAAATGGCGGCGCCCGGCAATATGCAAATGAAGCCCGGGATATTTAAATCCCGGGCTTCATTTGCAACTTCGGTTGCCTACATTAACCACCCTAGTTCGAACTAGGGTGGTAGTGTAGACATACCCTGAGTGAGCAGGAGGGTTGTGCTTTGTGGCTACCTGTTATTCAAACAGGCAGCTCTCATTGGCCAGTGTTTGTCCAGAAACCAGCCCATGGGATTGTGCTGGGGGTGGGAGCAGCAGCTGAATCTTTCCCCCTCCTCTCCAGACTCAAAGAGAGAGCACCTTGCAGCTGCATTTCTGAACACCCTCCGAGGCAAGCAGGGGAGCCTGCCTGGGGCTCCCCACTGCCTCCATGGGCCAGATCCAGTGGCTTGGAGGGCTGGATCAGGCCCATGAGCCATATTTTGCCCAGGCCTGGTCTAGGTTTATTTGGTCCTGCCACAGCACAGGGGGTTGGACTTGATGACTTCTCAAGATTCCTGTCAACCCTATGTAATTATGATTCACACACACATCTATGTACTGCTTATGTAGTTCACAACACATGTGAGAAACAAATAACATGGAAATGGATTATACATAAATGGAAAGGTTTTTTTTTTTTTTTTTTTTTTTTTCAGATTTAAAGCTCTGTGGCATATCTCTCAATGAATCTGTCATATATTGACTTTTCTGTCTGATATGGCAGATCCAAAAAAATGTAGTGATTAAGCTTTTCCTTTCCTGCCATGCTATATGTCATAAAATGCTTTAAAACTGTAAATGAGGTAAGACATGCTCTAATAAATATATACTACAATGCTAGGCTACAAGGTTAAGTCCATTAATAACTATTAGCCAGTATGGATAAGGAATAGTGTCCCTAGCCTTTGTTTGTCAGAGGGTGGAGATAGATGGCAAGAGAGAGATCGCTTGATCATTACCTGTTTGATTAATTCCCTCTGAGACACCTGGCATTGGCCACTGTCGGCAGACAGGGTACTGGGCTGGATGGGCCTTTGATCTGACCCAGGATGGCCGTTCTTATGTTCTAATGTGAAATTTATAATGAGATTTGAGTAAATATAATATCTGAACTATTCAGAATTATATTAATTGGGTATCATCCATGAACAAAAATGAGTTCAAAGTCCTAGTAGCTGTACATTACCTCCACCCTCTCTGTTTACATTTATTCTTATTAACATTTTATAAAATACTGGAGTCCTTCTGTCTGCACGACTGAGTTCAAGCGTTAGAAGAGGCTCTCAGTACAAATCCTTGAAAGGAAAGTACCAAAAGCCCTGTAGTGTGACTCTTCTGTTGGCTACTTCTCAGCTAAATAGCTCTGCTCCTTCACAGTTCATCACTTTACTAGAGACACAGTTTTGTGCTTCTCAATAAGGAAACAAGGAATGAGCTATGTCTATCCTTTATGGAATCTGACATAGTTTAAATAGAGGACATTTGATTGCCACACAAAAATAGCAAAGACATAACATCAGCCGTGGCAGTACAGGTGATATGAAGGTTTTGTGGACACCCAGAAGTAAAGTATTAAAACAGAATGATTTCATTAAGGAGAAGTAGTTAGCTTATCACCAGAAGCCAGCACAAATAACTGACAAAATTAGAAAAGTGTTTGGTGAAGACAGTATACACATTTGTGACATCACTTTTGCATTTGATAACATTTGTCACACTTAACATGTATTATTTTATGTTTTAAAATAAATCTGTCATTCGTATCTAGATAATAATTAACAATTCTTTCTTAGGTTTTGAAAGTTTGCCTGGTTTGTCTGCCAAGGATTTTGTCACACTTGCTGTCATACAGCGATATCTTGACTTTAAAGTAAGTATTTTTTTTAAAATGTCACAAATTCGGTTGCACACACACACAAAACAAATACAAGATAAAAAATGTGTTACAGCTGAAGAAATCCTTGATAATTGCAAATCAGATTTAACACACAATTGTCTAAAGTTTGTTTTTCTGATTTATTCTTCTTGAGAACCTGTGCACGCACACATTATGGAAACTTGTTATGCACCTACATAAGACAGTTTCATACCACAAAAGAGGGTATGGCTGCGGATTCACACCTTTATTCAACTTTCAATTCTCTGAAGACAAGGGCTATGTAAGCACGCTGAAGAATAAAACTTAACAACAAAGAGAACAGGAAAGGATATGTGGATTGTATTTTGAATCACTGGAACTTTCATAACTAAACATCAGCCTTTTAAAAAATAGTCTCTGTGTGTTTTAACACAAAGGTTGGAGAAGTCTGGAGTGAAATATGTGCAGAGATAAAAGAAGAAAAGTTCAGACCAGTCACTCCTGATGAGGAAGCATTGAAAGTTATTTCAGAGGCATCAGAAAATGTTGGAAAGATGGTTTCCAATCTCCAGTCTGAAATGCTTGGAAGTCAGCAGCACCAAGAACTCCAAGAGGAAGAAAAGGTTTACTCCAAAGTAAGACATGAAGTATTTACACAAGAAAAGTCCTTTATTTCAATATACCATTATTTTGCTGACTACTTATATTAGTAAGTTTCTTTTGTTTAACAGAGTTGAAAGTCACATCTATTTTCATTAAGGTAGTCTCTTTAGATTTCATAAGTACTTAAAGTGAACTATTTTTTTAAAACTTAATTTTATTTCTCAAGTATTATATAACTTTGTAATTAACTAGCATTTCTCAAGTATTGTATAATTTTGAAATTATTTAATTAATGAAAGCAACAGCACTATGAAAGAAACAACTGTGTAATGTATCACCACTGGTAGAATCAAAATAATAGTCATGCTACTATGTTTAAGTCTGTCTCTCGTTTTATGCACAAGAGATAAGGTCAAGATTATAATAACTGTAAAACAACCATCACAAATAGATCTCTTTCTCATAGTGAAATTGTAAGGACTGTATTTATATTTGCGGAGGTACAGTCTTCCAAAATTGAGTTGAAACATGATTAGTAGTAAAACTAATAGGCTATGTCTACACTGTCATGATTTTCCGAAAATGCTTTTAACGGAAATTTTTTCCCGTTAAAAGCATTTTCAGAAAAGCACGTCTAGAATGGCAGGATGCTTTTCCGCAAAAGCACTTTTTGCGGAAAAGCGTCCGTGGCCAATCTAGATGCGCTTTTCCACAAAAAAGCCCCGATCGCCATTTTCGCGATCGGGGCTTTTTTGTGGAAAACACTACTGTGCTGTCTACACTGGCCCTTTTGTGCAAAAGTCTTTCGGAAAAAGACTCTTGCCCAAGCGGGAGCAGCATAGTATTTCCGGAAAAGCACTGACGATCTTACAGCTGGCAAATTTTTCTGCAAAAGCAGATGATTTTGCAGAAAAACTTGCCAGTCTAGACACAGCCATACAGTTTGGGATGAATAATGGATTTTTTTATATTTATTGGCAATTTCTGAATGTTTCAGTAATGTAAAAACAAAACATTACATTTCAACCCCCAAAAATTAGGGGTTGCTTTTATCTGTTTGCTTTTATCAAAATGCATGAAAAGATTCACAAAATGGTGGGAGGAAGTAAAGACAGAGGTGGTGCTTCCCTTATAAGTTTTAATCCAGTGGCCAGAGCACGCAATTGAAATAAATAAGACTAGGATTGCCAACTTTGAAATTATACAGAACCAAAAACCCCTACCCCACCTCTTCTCCAAGGCTCTGCCCCCATTCTGTCACCCCTCCATTATCCACTCTCCCTCACCCTCACTCACTCATTTTTGTAGAGCTGGGGCAAATGGTTGAATGCAGGAACAGGTGAAAGCATCAGCTGGAAGTTCAGGCTCTGGGCTGGAGATAAGAATGAGGGCTTTGGGGTACAGGAGGTGACTTCGAGCTAGGGCTAATGGATTCAAAGTGTGGGAGTGGGTTCCAAGCTGGAGGCGCAGAAGGAGGATCAGGTGATGGGAAAGAATTTGAGTGCAGGAAGGGGCTTAGGGCAGAGGACTGGAATGCGGGCTTTCGGTGGCACTTTCCTTGGGCAGCTCCCTGTAAGCGGAGACTAGGGTTGCCAGATGGTTTCAACAAAAATACCAGACACACTTGACATTACATAACAATCTATATTCCATCTTATTTAGAAAATACCGGATATTTATATTTTCTCAATTTGTTTCCTGAACAGAAAGCTCAAATACTGAACTGTCCAGTTCAAAACCAGACACCTGGCAACCCTAGCGGTGACATGTCCTTTGGCTCCTAGGCAGAGGCATGGCCAACCAGTTCTGCTCACTGCCTCTACCTGCAGGCACTACTCCTGAAGCCCTCATCGGCCACGCTTCCCATTCAATAGGAGATGTGGAGCCAGAGTTTGGAGTGGGGAGGTAGGGCAGCACATGGAGTTTCCATAGCTGTCCCTCTGCCTAGGAGCTAAGGAGTCATGTGGAGCCAGGCAGGGAGCCTGCCAGTCCCAACAACCAGACGTTTAATGGTCCAGTCAGCAGTGCCATCAGGATCCCTTTTTGACTCGGCGTTCCATTCCAAAACCAGACAACTGGCAACCCTTTGGGAGACCTTAGTTCAGCTCCTTTCTCCCATCAGTCAGAGGCTAGAACTGAACGCAGGACTCCCACATCGCAGATGAGTGCTCTGCTTACTGGGATAAAGTTTATAAGGGAAGCATCAGCACCACTGTTCCTTTTCCTGTTTTGAGAATCTTTTTTGCTTGCTTCTGTCAAAAGGCCTAAACATGAAAATGAACTTTTTTCAGACCAAAACCAAACATTTCACTACTTCAATCAAAATATTTTGGCTTTTTCAGTTCAGTTTAAACCATTTGGTGAACCAGACACAAATTCACAAAAAGTTTCGGTCACTATAGAAACTGCATTTTCTGGTGAATAAACTGTTTTTACTTGGGGGAAGGGAAAATTGGCCTAGTTCTAGCTTAAAGGGCCATCTCAGATGTTCCAAAGTTCTGTTGGCACTTTTCTTAAAGAAAACAGTTCTAGCCTATGTAGGTAGGGAGTTGTCTGTTTACATTTCATCTATGAGCTATGGTAATGCAATGTTTAGGTTATAAATTGAAATAAATCAGGAAATTTAAAATTAAGATAATCACAGTAAAAATTAATTCCCCAAAACAGTGCATATAATGTAAAAATGTTGACTACTTTATTATTAAATTTAAATATGTATCTGGCTGTCAACATTCAAAAAAAGAAAGTCCTGGGCCAGATCTTCAAAGAAAATGAAGGTTTGGTGGCCATGAGAGCCCCGACCCATTGAGTTGTATGTCTATTCTGGCAGCTTTTAGAATGTTTTTAATATGAGTATCTTAATTCAGGGCTTCAAAGGAGTTGGAACTGGATAAATATCCAAAAGTTAGATTGCTTTTCTGAACTTATGATCTGCTTCTAAGATCTGTCCTCCACGCATCACCTTCTTCCCCAAAAGGTCCTCTCTACTTGCCATTATTTTCTTCAAGAGAAGCAGTTCTTTGATACCCGTCCAGTATGTTCAAAAAGAGGACAGTAGAGGACCTCCCTCACCATCAACACTTCGATAATCTCAATTTCTCTCTTCCTCTCTATTCCTGAAGTAGGACAGACCTCTTCTCCTTTTTTCCTTTCCACTAGGAGGGACATGCAGCATTTTTCTTTTTCCTGTCTCCAGAAGGTCTTTCTATTTCTCTCATAATTATAATTTTCCCCTCCCTTTCTTATGTTTCCTCCCACCACAACTGATTGCATCTCTGTTACCTCTTCCATCCAGCTTTAAAGTAGGTAGGGTTGAATGAAGGATTTCTTCTTCCTTAGTCACAGAGTTGTGAGTCCCTTCATCTTGAAGGGCAGTGAAGAGTTGGTTTAACACAACAGAAGTGATGCGCCTTACCTTTATTAGGAAGTGAAAGAAGTACAACTTTCTCTAGCATTCTCCTCCAGTCAGTACTAGAGCAGCACTGATCCCACTCATCTTCCAAGGAAAGGAAATGTGGGAATAGACAGAAAGGAGGCAGCAAAATGACTGTGAATAGGTGGAAGCACTGAACGAGCATCAGGAACAAGGAATTTAATGCAGTTAATGAAAATACAGTGTGTTACATCTCTTCAAATCTCTTCTCACATTGTAGATTCAAGCTATCCAAAAGCAGAGACAAATGGTAAATAAATCCTGGGAAGATTTCTTAACTCGGACATCAAATTATGAGGCTTTAAAGGTAAGATATTTTGGGGGAAATTTATATTAGCAATGTTGTTATGTTATTGAACAATTCCAAGCAAGTTTAGTCAGTATCGACTATGAGGATATTACTGTAGAAATAACAGCTGGACTTAGACCCAATTGTAATAATGCATAATAGTAGGAAAAACTCAGTGTTTAGTACCCTTTTCTAGTACTTTGAGAGACCCAGGTTAGTTTCTCTGTTCCACCACAGATTTATTGGGTGACCATAGGCAAGTCACTTATTTTGTCTGCCTGAAGTTCCCCACTTGTAAAATGGTGAGAATACATCCTTATTTTACATGGGTGTTGTAAAGATGAATTCATTAAAGATTGTGAAGAACTTTGAGATCTACTGATGAGAAGTTGTATGTAAGAACTGGGGGGAGGTATTATTTTTGTGCATAAACCATAACAGAAATACAGTTCTTTACTGAAAAGGTTTCTTGGCAGAACTATGCAATCACTACTAACCCTACTCCTGTGTGTGTGTGTGTGTGTGTGTGTGTGTGTGTGTGTGTGTGTGTGTGTGTGTGTGTGAGAGAGAGAGAGAGAGAGAGAGAGAGAGACTGCCAATTTAGTCATCTTTTTTTTAATAATAATAATTCCTCCCTTGTTTTTCCCACAGCAAATATATGAAGATAATTTAGGCTTGCTAATATGTTCTGATACCATTGTTATTGTGTATAGTATTTGCCTTTACGGGTTGAATCTAGAGGAGGACAACCAGACTAATTTGGAGACTGAAGGAAATTATTGACAATAAAATGAGTATACAGCCAAATCTGTTCATTCTTGAAAAGAGACACCTAAGGGAAAACCTGGCTTTGCTATAGGAGTACCTAGCAGGCATGTAGTTGAGAGCTAGACTGTGATCTGCTTAGTCTATGTGGCAAGGTATAATCTGCAGTCATGAATTGAATTGAAACTTAGCGAAGTATAAAAGTTGACTATAAAGAGATTTTTTTCACCTCCAGGCTCATTATCTAGTGGAGCATTCTGTTCAGTCAGAAATTGGCTGTGCATCAAGCCAGTCTATTCTGGAGAATGTCAGCCCACCATGAAAATACAGAGCTCAAAATAAAAACTTGCATTTTGAGAAAGTATTGAGTAGGTTTTGGGAAAGCATGGCTCTCATGAGTTTCCTGCCTCTTCAGCCCCTCAACTACTAATTATAAGTCTATGTTATATCCTTTTGGATCCTTTTCTCGTCCTCTGCTAAGCATAACTTTTACAACACACTTCCTCTGAGGTAGTCTGTAATATCATTTTTCTTTTCAGAGATGTGTAAACTGAGGTATAGCGGAGATAAAGGATTTGTGAAAGAGTACAGGATGAGTTGCTGAGCTATAAATAAAGTTCCGGAGTCTTGACTCCCACTTCCTATTCTGCCTGCTAGATCACACTCCTAAGACAGAGTACTAATGCCACACTTAATCTGTTCTGACTTTTTTTTTTATCTCCTGGCTGCAGTAGCAAATTGTTTCATTTTCCAAATGATTTTAATTAATCAGCTTATTACAAACTTTACATTCCCATTATTCATATTTTTGTCAAAAGTAAATAGAAATGACCTTTCATGGTTTATTTTTGTAATACTAATTGCATATTCGCTGTCTGATTGCATGAGGTACAGTGCTGATTCTCATAAAAATAAATTTTCTTTTACTAAATATCTTCAGAAAGCAAAAAGACTTCAGGAAAAATCTATAGCAGCTTCTAGAACAAAGTCAAGACCACAAAATGCAACACTCCACTCAACTGAAATTAAAGGCCTAAATACAACAGTAAGTAAAGTTTCCAAACATTCACCTTAACTCACAGCAACGAGCTAGTGGAAATAAAATAGTGTATTTTAGGTTCAAGAGTGAGTTAGTTATTTAGTTAGTTTTGTTTGTTTGTTAATGTTAGGCTCTCTGTCAGTTACAAAAGTGTGTTGATCTTAGTCTAGTCAATCTTTTATCTAATCTCCTCTTTTCCCAAGTTGCTTTAAGAAATGTCCTTGATGACCAGACAGACCCTAGCATCTGAGGTTAAAGCACTGTGCCTTTTATAGCAGAAAGATCTCTATTATAAATGAACATGTTTTGATGCCTTTGATGCTTCGAAAAGGGTTTTTATCACAAAGGCCTTTTCCAGCACTGTGGCTTTTACCCCTTGAGGCTGCAGAGACCATGAAAGAGTCCTGAAAGCATTCTTGATGGATGCTACATTCCAGTCTTTTAGGTAGATGACTGCACAGAGCCTTACCCAGCATAGTTGGTAAGTACCACTTCAACCGCTATAACACGCCACATCCACACGCATCAAGAAAGTGAAATTGGTCAGAGCAGGTCTCTGTGATCTGAAGAAATTCAAGCATGTAGGTCCTACCATTTATGGGTCTATCTTTTAAAGGGAGTGCAGCAGTTAGGGTCCAGATACCCCAAGGGGAGAACAGGGATTTTGAACCCCAAAGAATAAGCACTTGAATCAACTGATTGTATACAATGTGCTTAAAAATATGCCAGGTAAGATCTTTTATGAATCCTTGCAGCATTCTGAGCTTGACAAAAACAAGAAGGAGTCTGGTGGCACCTTAAAGACTAACAGGCTTATTGGAGCATAAGCTTTTGTGCATAAAAAACACTTAATTAGATGCATGGAGCCCAGCTTTAAAGACAAAACAGAAGTAAGCATGGAATTTCATTTCCCACAATGAAATCTAGTCTTTTGTACACTTACCTTATACTATACAGATTTCACAGGCTTAAAGTGCCACAGAACTCGTTGTTTTTGCAGCTACAGACTAACTCAGTTACCCCTCTGAGACTGTACGTAACAGATAAGTGTACAAACTGTGGTTATGGATCTATGTGTATAGATGTATATACAATACTATGTTCATGTCCAATACTACAATTTCAAGTACATGTTATAGCAAGGAGGAAGAGGAGATGGCAGCTCCTGCCAAGCCAGTTTTTTACACAAAACTAACTTCAAGTATCTATCCATTGTCCAGTTAGAAAAAAGACTTTGGGAAATGGGAAAATACTGAAACAACTTGAAACTGAAAAGAAAAACCCAGGTTTGGAAAACAGGACTTGTACACGCTGCCATTTATGTCAGTCTAACTTATGTCAAAATTTTAAAAACAATGAATAGTCTAGCAGCACCTTAAAGACTAACAAAACATATAGATAGTATCATGAGCTTTCGTGGGCACAATCCACTTCTTCACATGAATGGCATTAATAAAGGTCCAGTTCCAAATAAATATGGGAAGGGAGGGGGAGAAGGAAAAAGGGGGAAAGAAATACAGAAGGCCCCTGATTTGCGATGGCCTGATTTACAATCCCCCACACTTACAACCTTTTCTGTAAGTGCAGAAGGGACCAAAATCCCATGACTTATATCCTCGGCCCCACATTTATAACGGCGTACAACGCCTTTCGTAAATGTGGACTTGAGTTACGACACCCCCGACTTGTGACGCTAACTCCAGAACCAATCGCGTCGCAAGTTGGGGGCAGCCTGCAGTCAATTACAGTGTTCATTCTACATGAAACTGATAGAGAAGGTGCAAATTGTTCTTAAGTACCCATTGTTTAATGTTTTAAGTCATTACGACGTGGAATATAGTGTGCTAGCTCAGTAATATCTTTGTTCATACCTTAGTGATGGGTCCCAAACCTGTAAATGAAGTTAAGTTCCAGGCTTCTCTGTGTATTTGGCTTGTGGAATTGGCCTGACACAACACAATGACTTTGAGATCCATTAATGAGTGCTCCAGCAAGTTAAAATGTTCTCCAACAGATTTCTGTGTGTTGCCTTTTTGGATATCTGATTTGTGTCCATTAATTCTTTCCTGTAGAGACTGTCCAATTTGGTCAATATACATGGCAGAGGGGCATTGCTGGCATTTGATGACATAGATCATACTAGTGGTGTCACTCAGGGATGTTAATAAGCCACCCCTCTTAACAACAGAAGTTACACTGACCTGAGCACAGATGTGGAAAGCACTTTATTGACAGAAAAGTTACTCCTGACAACACAACTACTGCCTCTTGCAGAGGAGTTTTTTATTATGCTGGCAGAAGAGTTCTCTCCATTCAGTATCGAGCCTTTTCACCAGATGCACTGCTGCAGCGCAGCTGCATCAGTGTGTCATTGCCCCTGTCATGGATCACCATAATCAAAGAAAAAGGGAAAAATGAAAACCCTTAAAAAAGAAAGAATTTGAAGTGAAGGACATCTGGAAGCTCAGGGCCAGCACATAGGCTGGCTGTGGTCCATGAAAGGCTAGATTCTTAGCATACGCTCTGTCACAGAGAGAAACTGTTCAAAGGCAATAGATAGCTTATTTTAGAAAATCAAGTTTAGCTAATATAGAAATGTAAATCCTGAAGTTGTCTTTATTTTCTGTGTAACTTGTATGTGTTTGCTTTTCCTTACTATTTCATCTATGAATCAGTGCTTTTCTATTAAGTAAACTTTTTAATGGGGTTGGAAGAGACCTCAGGCAGTTATCTAGTCCAACCCCTCTGCTCAAAATAGGACCAACTCCAACTAAATCATCCCATCCAGAGCTTTGTCAAGCCTGGCCTTGAAACCTCTAAGGATGAAGATTTCACCATCTCCCTAGACAACCAATTCCAGTGCTTCACCACTTTCCTAGTGAAGTAGTGTTCCCTAATATCCAACCTAGACCTTCCCCACTGCAACTTGAGACCATTGCTTCTTGTTCTGTCATCTACCATCCCTGAGAATAGCCTGGCTCTATCCTCTTTGGTATGTGGAGGCTGCTATTAAATACCCCCTCCCCGCCATTCTTCTCTTCTGAAGACTAAGCCCAGTTCCCTCAGGCTCTTCTCATAAGTCATATTCCCCAATCTCCTAATCATTTTTGTTGCCCTCTGCTGGACATTCCAGTTTGTCCACAACCTTTCTGTTGTGGTGGTAAGTTTCACTACTTCAGGGGTGAGGAACCAGGGGGACGAAATTCCAAGTACCTGATAGATAAAAACAGATGATAGACTATTTAGGGGAAACTTGGAACCAGGAAAACCTTTGGGATCATCCCACAAACAGTAACTTAGCTAGTGGAATCCACAGGGAGACTTCTATTTGTAGATGGCTACTGGTGTCAGGGTGTTGAGCTATAGCAGTATATCATTAAGATACCCTAGTTTACAGGTCAGGCAGTGACAGAACCCATAATGTTGTGTATAACCAGTTTATTCATTTGCTTAGTCTTTGGAGTTCAGGTCCCCTCTTATCCCCTTGTGGTGTTTGTACTTTGATTATCATTGAAGAAATAATGAAAAATTTGGAGAGATCCAGACCTCGTGTCTCTGTCACTGGGAAGACCGATGTAGCTCTTAATGACACTGGTAAAAACTTCCTTACCAGTTATCCATTCCTTCACAGTTGTCCCATCTGATGTAGCTGAAGATAAAGTCTTTGGAAAAAGAAGGTTCATATTTAATCCAAGTCTGTTCCCTTTTCTTTATTATCTTCTGTGAGTGTACGTACACCTACGTTTTCTCAGAAGATTTCAGATGTTTTCAGGATCTTCTTGGTACCATGACAGAGAGTCTCAGTATCTTTAATTCTTGATAGTGCAGGAGAAGACTTGCTATGTAACATTTTGAAGCTGAGATAAAAAGAAAGTCACCATTTGAATCATGAAGGCAGTGCAGGACGTCTAGCTTCTGCTTCTATGTCTGTGGGATCCTGTTAAGCAGACAAGATGTAGCAAGTCCTGTAATGTAACTCTGATTATGTTTTTTGGACAAGTTGCCCCTGAATTGTAGAAAATCAGGGAGAGATGAGTCCATATACAAAACAGCTATAAATAAACATCATATTCATCAGCAATACTCAACATGAAAATTCTAAATTACACACACAGCTCATATTTGTGGAACAAGCTTTCCCCCTTGCACTCACTAGAATGCCCTCCAAGGTGAGCAGAGAGAGGAATCTAAGGGCATGTCTACACTAGGAAATAATTTTGAAATAAGTAAAATCGAAATAATAACTCCTGAAATAACAAAATCAAAATAGCACGTCCCTACTCCATACTGAGTGGAGCCAGGCTCGGGCTAGAGCCCCGGAAGCACTCTGGGGAGAGCACGTGTGCTTTCAGGGGCTCCTCTCTACAGCCGTGTCTCACATGCCCCTCCTCCACTGCCTCCCCACTTGTGGGACACCAAACAGATCCAATGTTTCTCTGGTTGCTGTTGCGAACACCACAGTGCTTACAACATGGAGCTGGAGCTGCTGCAAAGCAGTGCCTGGCTCACAGGCTTCATGCTGCGCTTCATTGTGTAGTTCATCCAGACTGTCCTCATGCTGCGCCACCCATCTTCACCCAGGTCCTGGCACTTCGGCTGCTGCAAATGCCCCTCCATCCCCTTGGCACCATCAAATGCTCTTTCTGACGGTGGGAGACCAGTTCAGAAAGGTGGGACTGAATCATCCTGCAGCAATGGGACAATCAACAGTGGCTACAGAACTTCTGCATGTAGAAGGCCACCTTCCTACCCTCAGGTGACAGGACATCCAATTGCAACCTGCCATCCCCGTGCAGAAGCATGTTGCCATTGTGCTGTGCCTGTGGAAGCTTGCCATGCCGGACAGCTACCGCTGAGTCAGGAACCAGATCCGTGTGGAGAAATCCAGAGTCAGGGCCATGCACCTACAAGTAGTCAAGGCCATAAACCACATGCTGCTACAGATGGTTGTCACTCTGGGGAATGTCAAACAGCATTGTCAACAGTTTTGCTGCCATGGACTTCCCCAACTGCGGGGAGGCCATATACATAGCATGCACATCCCAATCCTGGCCCCCAACCACTGTGCCTTGGACTACATCAACAGGAAGGGGTACTTCTCCGTGGTGCTGCAAGCCCTTATGAACCACAAGGGATGCTTCACCAGCATTAACGTTGGCTGGTTGGGGAAGGTGCACAATGCCTGCATCTTCTGGAACTCCTGCCTCATCCGAAAGATGCGCACCTGCATTTTTTTCCTCTAACACACCATCCAAGTCGGGGAAGTGAACATGCCCATCTGCATCCTGAGCAACGTAGCCTACTCCTGGATCCCTGACTCATGAAGCCCTATAAAGGCAGCCTGGACCACAGCAAGGAGCACTTCAACGCCAAGCTAAGCAGATGCTGCATGGTGGTGGAGTGTGTGTTCAGCCTTTCCAGAGTCTCCTCACCTGCCTGGACCTCAGGAAGCACAATATCCCCTTCATGATGGTGGCCTGCTGTGTGCTCCACAACCTATGTGAGACCAAGGGGGAGACTTTCCTGCCAGGGTGGGGGGCAGAAGCTGAACAGCTGACCAGGGCATACAAGCAGCTGGACACCGGTGCTATTCGGTGAGCACATCAAGGGGATGTGCTCATGAGGGAGGCCTTGAGGGAGAGTTTCAGCCAAGACCAGCTGCAAAACTCTCCCCTGTACCTCTGTACAAGGGGCCCCTACATTCCCCCTGTATGGCTTTCTTTCTCCACCCTTCCCTTCCCCCAACCCTAACCCCCCCCCCCCCCGAACAAATAAAAAAAAAGTCTGTTTGGGGATATACAACAGGGGAGGGATGGGGTAAAGAACTTGGAATGGGGGAGGAGGGAAGAGAGGGGTTCTAGGATGGGGCTGGGAGTGGCGCCTGCCTCAGTCAGCTCAAGAGACTTCAGCTGCTCAAGAGGTCCCACCACCCCCTGCTCCAGAGCTCCGGTGGCCCCTGGGGGCGGGGGAGGTAGGCAGCAAAGCCGCAAGGGTGGGCAGGTGGCTGCTGCCCCACCCTATGCGCAAGGCCATGTGCTCCATCATCATCATGAGGGAGGAGCATATGCTGCCATGCCAGCTGGTCCCAGGTAGCCTTCCGCTGCCCCCGGTCAACCTGTTGCTCCTCCTGGTCAGTGGCATGCTCCCCATCAAGCCCCCAGATGAGGGACTGCAGGCAGGCCATCTGCTCATGCATCACGTCTTCCTGGGTGTGTTTCCTCCTGCGGATCCCATGGAGTCAGGTAGATGGCATGGGAAGTGGTGGATGTGCCATGATTGCAGCTCACCCAGCTGTGAAGAAAAGTTACAAGGGCAGTCATCCCAGGAGACATGAATGTGCATGGAGCCTGGCCCTAATCTCAGAGCCAACACTAAAGATCTTGGTTCAGACAATAGTGATGCGCTTCGAGCAAGGCCATTGGTTACGTAGACATCGGGCACTCTTCGGGTCACAGATGTCCCAGAGGAGCATCGCAACACCCACAGCCGGGGGACAAACAGGAATGGGAAGGTGCCAGCCAGGCGAGGAGCCTGTGCGCCGGAGGCGGGGATGGGGTGGTTTTGCTTCCTTCCTTGTACCACATATGCTAGGTCTGGCAGTAGTGGTGTCCCGCAGAGAGAGCTTCTATCCCTGCCCACTGGAAAGGGGGGGGGGGGGGGTGTTGGGGAATATGTGTGGGAGCGGTGGATCCCATGCGTGTGATCAGATTCCTCCACCTCATGGCACTTAATTGGGAGCGGATGCTGCCTGAATGCAGGCATGACCCTGTGCCGTGTGCAGCACTGCTGTGTGCTTCCATGACCCCAGCCTCCTTAGTGGTGGCTTGTCATGGGAAGATGTACCAGCATGGAGTCTGGAGGAAGGCAGGGCTCTCCAGGAATCTTATGAGAAGGACCAAAGGGTTCCTGTGTGAGAGCGTCATGGGGCTGAGTGCGCCAGACTGGCGCTCCATGTGCACCCATGTGCACAGGCTGTTCTGCAACACCCAGGCTGAGGAGGCTGAGCAAGGAGCACACAAGCCTGCCGCCTGCCCCCATGTGTAGATAGGGAAAGTTATAGAACTCATCTGAAGTGCCTTCCCAGGTTCATCCGATGACTGGGAGATATCCTGGGAGTGGGGGACTGGCTCCAGGGTAAGGAGCATGTCCTGGCTGGAGGGCATGGTCACCTGGCTGGCCGCCTCCTCCTTCTCCTCCTCGTCATCCTCCACAACCCATCTCCCCCCGCCCCCCGCATGTCCTGGCCAGACTCAACAACGACGGGAGGGGGAGGTGATTTCTCCCCTCCGCCCCAGGATGGCATCAAGCTGGTCATAGTAGTGTCACATATTTGGTGCCACCCCAGAGCATCTGCTCTGCTCCCTGGCCTTGTTGTAGGCCTGCCAAAGCTCCTTGACTTTCATCCGGACCTGGTCGAGGGGCTGGATGTAGCTTTTGTTGGACAGGCTGGCAGCCATCCAGCCATACACGTCTGCATTGCACTTTCTGGTGCGGAGATCCTATCACATGTTTGGTGCCACCCCAGAGCATCTGCTCTGCTCCCTGGCCTTGTTGTAGGCCTGCCAAAGCTCCTTGACTTTCATCCGGACCTGGTCGAGGGGCTGGATGTAGCTTTTGTTGGACAGGCTGGCAGCCATCCAGCCATACACGTCTGCATTGCACTTTCTGGTGCGGAGATCCTAGAGGTTGGTCTCCTCACCCTAGGCCTTGATGAGGTCAGGATCTCCGCACTGTCCAGGCCAGTGCTCTCCTGCGTCCCTGACCAGTGGCAGCTGAGAGTGCTGCGGGAGTGCTGGCAACCGTTGGGCACTCTTAGGGAGTGCTGGGGTCTGCCATGGCTCTGTCAGCTGAGACTGTATGGCACAGGGCTGGCAAAGCTCTCCATGTGCCACAGCCCTTCTCCAGCAGACTGCTATTTTAAGCTCCGCAGGAGAAGGGGGAGCAGTGGAGCTGGCAGATTTGGCCAAAGTGGCCACAAGTGCAACTGTGAGAGGTCTCTGGAGGCCAATTATTTTGAATTAGCAGCATCGGATAGTCCACACTAATGCTATTTCAAAATAACCAGTCCTTTATTTCGAAATCACAGGCTGGGTAGTGTGAACGCTTCTCTTGTTATTTTGAAATGGGGGGAGAGTTATTCTGAAATAGCTCCCTAGTGTAGACCAAGACTCAGGTCGTTGTTATAGAAGGTCCATGTGAAAACAAATAGGGTCTCATGGCTCCATATATTGTTGGTTTTTTTAGTGGAGACCAAAGTTAGAATCTGCCATTCATACCTCATAATTCTGAGCTTTTCCTTGAGGTCTCCAGTCTAGGATAAGACTTCTAAGACTTTAACCTGTTCAGATGTAAAGAGGGCTAGTATAATGGGAAAACTGTCAGTCTCTCTTGATCTTTAGGTCTTCTTCATATCTTCTCTAGAAATCACTCCATGTCAAACTCTTGTCCCATCCTTTTTTTTCCCCTTCCCGGAATCTCTCACAAACTATTGAGTGTCTAATTTTTCTGGAGGCAATAAATGAGAGCAGTAGAAGAGTATCTGGGAAAGAGGTTCCAGTATAATTATTACTTTATTTGTACTAGTATAATTAATACTATTATTATTCTTAAGCACAATCAAGCCTGCCAGAGAGAGGCTTGCAAGGTGTTATGATGATTCACTAACATATATATGTAGAGATTTAGGGAATCGGTTGCAGAAGTATCTTAAAGTATAAACAATGGAAAATACTGTTCTCATCCTCTTTTACGATGCAGCCTAAGGAAGCCAGCTGACTAGTACACTACAATCCACATGTTTACTTCTTCACTAAAATACTTGCAGTTTATTTTCCTACATGTTTAAGATCAGACATAAAGGCTGAGAAGCATAATACATAAAGACAAGAAGCTGTTCAATCTGCGTTATTGGTGGAATCATTTTATATTGTTTAAAGAGTATCTTGAGAGAGGCTAGGAAACTTTCATAATGCATCGCCAGCTCCCAAGTAGCATTTTGAAAAGACAGGGCCTGTGATTTAACTCTCATTTCATTTTAAAGACTAATATGAATTTCAAGCCATTTGTTTTGTTTTCTAGACTGCATCTGGTCGCTTGGTAACTGTCGAAAGTACACCTTCTGAATTAACTGGAGGGCCTCTGGCTGACACAGACCTTGCGCTTAGAAAGCTCTCTGTTCGTGGAGGAGCCTTAAAAAAGATCAAAGGAGTCAAAGTGTTGTCTTCATTCAAAAAAAATTCAGTATCTGTAAAGTAAACATTATCCTGTGCTTTGTATTTTTCTTTTAGTTAATGTATGTCCAAACACTATTTGTAAGATATACTCTATTTTTATTTCTTTGGTGAAATATATAGAACTTGTGAGATTAATAGTTATAGATGAAAATATATTTTTGCTTTACAAAAAATAATGTGAACAGCTGGCTGACATGACTAAAGAATCCCATGCAGTGTGTGTTCCAGAGGTCCGTTGATCCTAATAATTTCTGAGCCATCTATGTTAGGCTTAGTTTATTCACAACTAAACAGCTGCATGTCCACTTGGTACCATAAGGTATACGCACTCCATCTGATGCTATTAAGGATCCTCTTCCTTGAGAATGTGGAACATAATATAAATATATTCAATTCTTCACTCTTACAGTAGGGCTCCCGAGGTTGTTTTAGTTTTTCCCCATTACCCTTGTGATGGCTCCACCAATCCATTTGGTCTCTTTCCCAGAACTAACCCCATTTGGAGTTCTCTCTAATTAGGTATTAGGGCTTCAGAAACCAGTTGTCCGTTTCCATGTGTAACTTTACCCACCAACTCTCTCATTCAAGTGAAGATACTGTAGAATATCCTGCTCCCCCATGTCTCACCGGCCTCCACTGGCCTTAGCCCATCAGTTCCTTCTCTGATGATTGCCCAAACTCTCCCTTGACAGGGAACTGTGCCCGTCTGACCCCAGCCACTGTGTAGAGACGCCCTCTAGCATCACTGGTCCTCTCCATGAGCAACAGTCCCTTTTATCTGAGATGACTTGAGCAAAGGTCAGTGTTTGGGATTCACTGTGTCCCTGATTGACCTTGCAGTTTGTAGCCATCCCAACGCTGCAGCATAAATTACATTACTACGTACAGTGTCTGTCTTGTCCACCCACAAACAAAACGGTCTCAGGAGAAATACAAACATGCACTATATAAAGGGCTAACAGAAATTAGAAAAACTTGTTACTTCTGTAGAATTTAGCCACAAACTAGTCCTTTTTGTAATTCCCAAGAAGAGGGATTTCTCTGTGTTTTGAATGGAAATAATTGATAGGGTGCTGTAGGCAAAAAATGAAGGCAGGCATTTGCTGAAGTATCCTACTTTTTGTGCAAAGAAAACTGAAAAGGAAATAATGACATAAAATCATACACCTACACTATTAATTATAATTAACCCTCTCTAAGAGCTTTCTACCTTCCATTGAAGTCAGTCACAGTTTCTCATATGGAGGGGCAGTAAGCATGAGCCCAAACGGTTACTTGGTAAGGCATGGTAGTTGTCTATAATTTTAGTGAAGAAGATTTGAGTTAAACCATGTCAATTTACAGAACCTGCAGGTCTGGCTCATTGCTGGTTGTTGGTGTTTAACATACATCTAGCTGGTTTATGCTTAGAAGGTTTTTTTCAAAGTTCCCCTTGCAGAAAATTTAGCCATGAAGCATTTCTTTGCTTTCTATATGCAAGAGTGACTGTATTTTAATCTTTATTACTTTGTGGAATTTATAAAGGAACTGAATGTAAGCAGCTCTGACATCTCTGATATACTGTCCTTGAGAAGTCAATGGAGATTGCAGATATCAGTAGTAGGCAGGCCACAGGACCAATCCAGACCACCCAGTGCTTTTGAGAAACTGTAAAATCTATTTACTTTTATCAGCATTATTATTGCAGTGTGAAAAATATTCCTTTGGAGTCTGGACCTTGACTATACCTTGCTCAAGAAATTTGGACCTTGATAATAAATCATTGATTCCCCCTTGTGTATATGGTGTTGATTTAATAGAGTGTGTACCCTTTCAATAGGCTATCTGTTTAACATCTTGCATGTCAGTAAATGCCTTGTTCAGTCAATTCATATTGCTTTAATTTCATGTCTTTTCATGCATGATGCTGACTCCCAGAATACTATGATGTGCAAGTAGAAATCCAACTGCTGGGCTAACAGAAAAGCGTGCTTCCTTTTTCTTTTAAATAAATACTAGGGGGCTGTGCCCCTTCTCAATATGCTTGCCAACTCCCTTCTCTTGGGTTAGGTGTCTGGCTGAGGGAAGTGGGCAAGAGCAGGGTGGGGGCAGGAGCAGGCTGAAGATAGGTGTGTGGCCAGAGGGAGGAGACAGGAGCAGGCTGGTGGTGCGGGTCTTGGTGGAAGGAATGAGTGAGGGGGTGGGATGGGGGTCTCAGCAGGCCAGGCCCCTGAAGACAGGAGGGCTGAGGCTACAGCATGGTATCTCTGGCTCTTCCCACCACAGCTGCTGGGGAGGGCCTGAGGACATTCCCCCCCCTACTCCTCCCATTGACAGGGAGGGACTGGTCCCAGCTCTTCCCCTCCACACCAGCTCCAGCTGCTGGGGAGGGCCCAGCCCCGCCTCTTCACTTCCCCCCCCCACACACACACACACCAGCCCCAGCTCTTCCTCTGCCCCACGGCTGCTGGGGAGGGACTGACCCTGAGGCCACCCTAGCCCTTCCTCCCCCCAGCCAGATACATGTACTGTGCTCAACCTGCACTAGTTAGCTGGATAAAAATGAGTGCACACTTCTAGTTTGTTTTTTTAAAACATGAGCACCTCATGCCCTGATGTTTACCTGCCAATTGCACTTTCCATTGTGCCTTTAGTGCAAATGTTCCCCTGTGTCGTCACTTAGGAATTATCAACAGAAGCTTTTAGTAGTTGCTCTCTGTGAGTGACGGTGCATATTGATTGCAGCTGTACAATGTGTGTGTGTGCCCAAGAACTTTCCCAGCAATACCACTAGACAGCACATGCGGTCCCATTCTCAGTGGCACTGCAACAAGTTTTAAGACAGGAGTGCTGAGCTGTGCTGCCTCCCTTACTCCTGTCCACACCCAGCACTTCTCTATCCAGGAGCCACAGCTGAGGGTGACTGCGGAGCATCAAGGATGGAGCCTGTGGCTGGGACTGGCATCAGCAGAGCACCTGGGGCTGGGATCCTGAGATCCTGGGGCCAGCAGCAGAACTCACAGGCACTGGGCCGATTACCAAGACGGACGGCCAGGACCCAGGGGCACAGGCTAGTGGCTTGGACCCTGACATGGGTCTAGGAGTGGAGACATCATGCCCAAAACCTCAGGGTCTTGTGGCACCCCCTTCACTTCTATTTCCCACACTTATGCCCATGCTCCTCTTGCTCTTAGACAAGGCAATAAAAGAGGCGTGTCTGCTGCCTCCCTCTCAGTTGTTCTCCGATGCCTGTGATAAGAGTTGAAGCCCCCCATATTATCTGTTTCAGTTAGCCAGTGTTGCAAAATTCCTTTAGTCTACATAGTTATAGACAGCAGTATTTAGTGCAGTATAATTAGTTATAGTATTTAGTATAGGTACTTGGTGGATTTTTTATGAAAAAAATATCCCCAGGTTTCAAGCTATGTGCAATGTGTAGGACAGTTTTTCCTGTTAACTGATAGGCACAAGAGCAGCATGATTTGCTTCACTGAGGCTATGTGAGGGAGAAATGCCCAATTTGTACCTCCTGCCCTCAAGACAAAAATAAAGAAGATGGATTTCTGCCTCAACATAGGTCTGTCACTCCTGCCTCAGGAAACAGGCAGAAATTCCATGAGATGCTGGTGGCAATTTCATCTTCTGACCCACCAAAGGTATCTAACAGAGTAACAAGAGGAGGCAGACGGTGACAATACAGATGTGGAAGACTGAAAATGGCTGATGCTACTCATGATTCTTAGCATCGCTGCCAATGTCCCACCACTTACACTGATGCTTCTAGAGCAGGGCCACAAGCACAAATGGGTGAGGTCACATCAACATGCAGACCTGGAGTGACCAGCACCGAGTCCAGAACTTTTGCATGAAGGGAACCACATTTCTGGATCTTCGTGAGCAGCTTGCCCCAGTCTTCCAGTATCATAGAGCATGCATGAGGATGGCCATATCAAGTCCAAAAAAGGGTTGGTATAGCAGTTTGGAAGCTGGCTACACCAGGCTGCTATAGGTCTGTTGCTAACCAATTAGATGTTGGAAAATCAACTATGGGTAAAGCAGTGATGGAGGTTTCCTGGGCAATCAGGTGTGTGATTTACCCAACAGTGATGAGCATAAACAATATCCTAGAAATAACATCTGGTTTTAAGAGAATGTGCTTTCTAAACTCTGCCAGGACCATTGATGGGACTCATCTATAATTCGCCCCTCCCTGGCAGTAAATGAGTATGTGAACCACAAAGGGTACTGCTCCATTACTATGCAGGCCCTTGTGCATCACAGAGGCCTTGTCTGGGTCAATGGGAGAATAGTAGATGTAAGAATGTGTTTATACAGCAATGTTTAAATGAGAAACTGTCACATCACACAATGAAATGGAGGGATACGGTCACTGTAGATCACTGATTGTCATGATTCACAAATGCTTCTTACAGATAACATGACTATTAACATATGGGTTGGTTGTGAGGGTACTTGTGCATTTATGGTTTGATATACCGGGAAACTGTGTAGCTAGCTACCACTTGCCTATTGTGCCTTTGTGTGTGTGTGTGTGTGTGTGTGTGTGGTCAAAATACGCATTGTACGATGTGATGTAGTAATGAAAATAAACTCCCTTAATAAAATAAAAGCCTTTATTTGTATTACAAAAATAACAGTAATAAACCATGGCTCTTGGATTGCACCCTAGCTAAAATGGATTACATTTGTACATGGGCTGCATTTCCATTACCCCAGACAGTTAACTGTTTCCCCTTGGAATTAATATTATTCCCATATTAATAAAAATAAGCTTGGAGCCAGAAAGTTAGCAGGGTGATGTCTGTCTCTTCATCTGACTCTGTGGTAGACAGTGCCAAGATGGGGGCTGCCTTCAGATATGCAGCCAGGATCTGCTGCAGTTGCCATGGGGGTAAAGCCTCCTGGGGACTTGTTTCTGCACAAGAGTCATTGTGCTAGCCTGATTCAGCACATTCAAGCTCCCTGCCAATCCTACACTGGATTCAGTGGTTAGAGGGCAGCCATCCTGGCTGACCAGGCCATCATGAAGCACTGTTGGCTCTGTGCTTGGCACTGTATCCAGCACCCAGTCAAACAAACTTCTTGTAAAGGAGGCAGGATGATGATGAGTTCCCAGAGGTTCGGTTCTCATCCCTGGTTTTCTGATAGATGGCCTTGAGCCACTTAATCTACCCTCTGCAGTGGTCACCAGTCCAGTCAATCCCCAATGCTGCCAATGTTCTCGCTGTCTCCTGGCATGCAGAGTAATTCCTGGTACAGGTTGGACCTCCCTAATCCAGCACCCTTGGGACCTGACTGGTCCCAAATGAGGGAGTTTGCCAGACCAGGGGAGGTCAATTTCACCCCCGTCTGCTGACAGACTCTGGGCTCTCCCGGGGTCCATCGGCAGACCAGACAGGACTTCCCTGCCCTCCACTGCTGGACTCCCAGCTCCACGACCAGCCCTGTGACCGCCGGAGCTGCTGCGGCCCCTGAGCCACTGGGTTTCGGCCACTTCAGGGCTGCTGGGGCAAGTAAGACTGCTGGGGCTCTGCTGCCTCAGGGCCAGCAGGGCTTTGCTAGTCCAAGGGCTCTCTGGTTCTGGAGACCAGACCAGAGAGGTGCAACCTGTACTCTTACTAAATCCAAACTTTTTGTTGGACTCACAAAATCTGGCTGTTCTCTTATGACCAAGAAGCAGAGCCTTTGGCAAAGGACTTTTTCAGGCCGATGGTCGGTGCAGATGCAGAAGGTTCACTGTGCTTGCATACAATGAAAAATGCCAAGCTGCTGCAGTTGAAAGAGGTGTGTGTGGGGAGGAGGGGATTGCTTCCATATCCTGGGAGTTGAGTAGGTATCCCTGGGACAAAGAGCACCACCCCATGGGATTGTGGGATAGCACTGATGGATTCTCAAAGCCAGAGTCCAAGCTGCATCCACACTGCAAAACAATGGAGCTTGGGCCCTAGTCCCAGCGGGACCTAGGCTCAAACTCACCCATCCTGCAAGATCCTGGGGCCCAGGCCAAAACTGAGTCAGATAGAACTGGAGCAGGCGGGATTGAGCTCGAGACTGAGTCTGAGCCTGGACTAAGACTACAGTGTAGACATAACACTAGACCATGAAACAATGTGTGATGGGGTGTACGTGGCCCCAGGGCCTCCTGCTGGAGGCCTCATGATCCTACCACAACCTGCTCCAAAAAGGGAACAACAGAGGTGAGTCCTCCAAGCAGCCTAGAGAGGCTGCAGGGAAGCAAGCAATTGGGGCCTAGCAGGCACATATAAAAAAAGCTAGAGAAGTTCAGTTGTTACCTGTAGTCAGAGATGCAAGGTTAATGGTCCTGGCTGGCTGAAGGCACTGAAGTACCAGGGATAGAGTAGTTGCTGGAAAGAATTGGGAGAGCAAGGAGCACCTGGCTAAGCTGGAATACAGAGCCTTGAGGTAAGGGTGAAGATAAAGAGGACATTTGGGAAGTATCCCAGGGAACAGTAGCAACAACAGCTGCAGCAGGCTTAAAGAGAAGCAGCTGGCAGCTGCTTTACATAGGGTCCATGGGTTGCAGCCTGTGGGAGTGGGTGAACTTGGGTCCCTCAGCTCAGGCCTACACTGGCCACAGGCAGAGTGTCCTATCTCCGGAGAAAGAGATTCCCTGTCCTGGAGACAGAGGCTGAAGATCCTGATGAAGGTCAGCATTTGTAGATGCTGATACGCCTCTAGAAGGAGATAATGTGGTAATGACTGTGGGGTGCATTGAGCAGCAAACCGGTGGATTAGAAAGGAATCGAGAGCTCCTGTGGGGTGGTGCTGTAAACAGACACCCTGGCTAAGGCTAAACTGGCATGATTTTCCGCAAATGCTTTTAACGGAAAAGTTTTCCGTTAAAAGCATTTACAGAAATGAGCATCTAGATTGGCACGGACGCTTTTCCGCAAAACCACCTTTTGGAGAAAAGCGTCCGTGCCAATCTAAACGCGCTTTTGCACAAAAAAGCCCCGATCACCATTTTCGCAATCAGGGCTTTTTTGCGCAAAACAAATCTGAGCTGTCTACACTGGCCCTTTTGCGCAAAAGCTTTGTGCAAAAGGACTTTTTCCCGAATGGGAGCAGCATAGTATTTCTGCAAGAAGCACTGATTTCAGACAGTAGGAAATCAGTGTTCTTGCGGAAATTAAAACGGCCAGTGTAGACAGCTGGCAAGTTTTTCCGCAAAAGCAGCTGCTTTTGCGGAAAAACTGCCAGTCTAGACACAGCCCCTATGTTCTCAGCCCCAGCACCCAGATCACAGTTCTGAATTTCTGCAGTCAGAATACTGTCCCTGACGAGACCCAATCTAAGCTTTAATCTCCCATAGATGTAACCAGGGGGCTGACAGATTTGCCTGGTCCCTGGGTAAGGGGGACAGTTCTGTGCTCCTGGAAGCGGTGAGGACACAGGCAGAAGAGGTAGGGATGGGGGCAGCCCTTCCTCAGAGCTGCCTGAAGCGCCCCACACTGTGCCGTGTCTCCCTCAACCCCAGACAGCATGCCACAGAGGGTGCCACATGGCTCTCCAGGGGCAATTTAAAGGGCTCCGGGCTCCAGCCGCCGGCACTCCTGAAGCAGCTGGGACTTCCAGGCTCTTTTGAATGACTGGGTCCCAGGGCCACCACCTCCTGTTGATGGGCCTGGACATAGCTCTACATCTTCCTCAAGACAAAACCCATTAGCTGTTTGTGTGTATCCGCAACCTCCTAACAACCATCTAATATGTACTAGATGGGCTGAGAATTTAATGTATATTTCTATAAACCCAATATGTCTACTATCAAGAGAGTCAAGTTACCAGCACATCACTTTGGAGTGATACTTCACCATTCACGTTCCTCAAATACCCCTTCTCGAGGTATGTTAGCAAGTCTCTGAGTCTTTCAGGACATTTAATCACCTCCTTTGATCTTCTCCATGTCAGTCTTTTATTAGAGCCTGAGTTGTTCTCTTGTTCTTTTAACATTTTCTCCTTTGTCTGTGATGCTAAATGATCAGTTGGTTGGGAAATGCCAAAGGCCACAGTCTGTCAATATTTTGGTACTTTCTAGGATTAGTCTTAGATCCCTTTTGATTACATTGAAATATGTAGCCCAGACAGCCCCAGGGACACACAACCTTGGATGCAGCTGTTCTTCAATGGTACCCTTTTGGCCCTAAGCACTAGAGGGTTGTTCCTCAGGTTCACCAGGATTAAGAGATCAGTGGCCCTTCTGTCAAAATAATATTTCTGCTTCCACTTCTGATGTTTCTTGTATTTTCCATATGGTTTCATTGTTCTGAGATTTCAGCAAATTATCAGTTTTCTGTAAATTAAATCTGATCCTTCACCCCATTAGCAGCTGAGCTGGAGAAAAGCCATTCTGCAGAGGTGTACTTCAAAAAGATAATAAAGCTGTATACAAATAACCCCTGCGATCAAAATATTTTTCATACAGTTCCTTGCTGTGCAAATAGACCTTTCCACAAGCCATGTGATTGAAGGTAATTTTGCATTTGATGTTCAGTAATGAAAATCCCAAAATCTATGGTAAATTGCCTAAAATCTGTAATGGAAAATTCTGGCCCCCTATTGCTGAATAGTTCATCTGGCTGGAGAAGATTCCCTTCATGCTGTCTATCACTGATTTACTACTAGTACTGTGTAGTGTGCAAATTTCTGGATACAGAGAAGAATCCTTTGATTGCCAGGTAAATAGTGAGTGCCAACCTTCTCATACCTCCTTGTGGAACTGGATGAAGTCTCAGTGGCTCTGCCTTGTACTGTGGCTTGTATTTCAGTCATGAAAAGCCATTTCCTACCACATTAGTGATGTCATGATTGATCATGCACAATACAGCACCTCTCATGCTCTCTCATTTTTACTTCTCAGTTCCTAAGTAACCTTCATGGGTCTTCTGTAACATTTGTTTTTGGAGGCAGACTGGAGTGACTCTCCATCACAATAAATTCATGTCTGCAATTCTAATAGTCTCTTTTACTTGGATGGCAGCTGTTTAATTCTTCAGACCATCCTTTAATTATCACTTCTCTAAGGATCCCCGTTGATTGATTTTCCTCCATTTCCTCTCCTATTTGCTGCAGTTTCCTATTAGCTATAGGACTTGACGTTACCATCAGAATATCTCTCTCTAAAGACTTCGGTTCCATAGGGGAAGTCACTGCTCTGGAAAATGCATCTGCAGTGACCATTAATTTACTAGGCATGTTGGTCACAACCAAATCATACTTTCCCCACGTTTATAACAGTTTCCCAAAGACAACAGAATTTGGGGCCATGCTGTGACCCAAATCTTCCTCATCACCAGCTATACCTGGTCTTCCCCATAGCAATAGTTACCATAGCAAGTAGCGCCACTTTTTTATTTGACCTTACCAAAGTCACAAGTTGCACTCATTTTTCCCCTTAATTCTGTGTCCATATTGCTATACAGTGTCATTAATTTTTTTGTATTCATGTAAAATTTTATGTTTCAGAAGTCTCATTCCTTTTTGGCACGCAACGTTTCTCGATTTGAGTCAGTATTTTATTTTACATCATGCATTTACCTTCTTCAGACTTAAAGTTGTTAGAAATATTCAGTGCTTCCTCCCCTACAAAATGCAAAAATTGATTTCACTTTTCTCCTCTGCCCCCAAGGCTGCTAAATACAATTCAAAATCTCTGTTGGAATTTTTCAGATATTCTGATTGTAACATCAAGTGCTCTTCAACATTGCCTGACAATTGCAGACTGGAAGGAGGTTGCCATTTTGGGCTCAACCACCCCCGTCAAGCAACTGCTGTGCTCATAAAGTACATATAAAAGCTTTTGTTCTTCTCTGTTTGCTGTTCCACAGTATTCCCCTTGCTTCTGCTTTCAGCTACAAACCCCAGGATTTAACTTCAAATGACTGCTGTTTCCTTCTTGTTCAGCACATCTGACACCCTATAATGATCTTGGGATTATTAAACAACAAACCAATGAATGAGGGATAACTTTTAATAAATCAAACCAGAGAGCTGAACTGCTGTACACAATAACTAAATGGTGTTTTCAACCCTATCTTTTAGGGCAAGGCCGGCTTTAGGCTGATTCGCCCGATTTCCCCCGAATCAGGCCCCACGCCTAAGAGGACCCCACACCCTAAAGCCAGATGGCCCCGGGCCCTAAACCCAGAAGCATGCTGGCGTGCCGGGTGTGCTGCCGGAGGAGGTGTTGGCCCCGGAGGAGGAGCACGGGGGTTTCTGTGCGCCGCGGGATGGGGAGTCGGCCCCTGGGTTTGGCTGGAACCTAGCCAGTAGCTGGGAATTTAAAGGGGCTGTGAGTTGTTTCTTTGTGTGCTGCATGTTTTTTTTTTTTTTTGTCAACAAAAAAATCCCGGCTGCCGGGGCCCCGTCAAAATGGTTCGAATTGAGCCCCAAACCTGTTTTAGGGCACAGCTCAAAATTCTTATATCCCTTATGAGGGAGTATTTCTAAATTATACTCTTCCAAAAACATTATCTCTACACAGGGTGAAGGGTGATTCAGATGGAGAGCTGGGATGTGACGTATTGGATTTTAATATGAACATACAGAACAATGTTGCACCCACGGTTGTGTATTTGCCCCAAATTGTGTATAAAGTGGGCCAAGTGAGGTGTCTATTGAAAGGTGATGCTTTGCTGATTCTGCTTATACCATTCATGTCCCTGTATGATTTTTGTATTGGACGTTGTGAGTATTGGCTATATACTTGTATTTCAAAAGCTTGCTTCTGGGAAATATTAACAGGCGTCGCCAACCTATTGTGCAAGGCTACTCAAGTGAACAGCTGTACTTCATTGACAATAGACCATAAGGGAGCAAGCCACTTCGAAGGAATTTCCCTGTGAAACATGCAGCCCAGCGGGCAGGTCAAGGTGGTTTGACTAAAAAGAACATGGACAGGTGACTTGCTCATGTGACAAATTCCATTTTGGGAGGTACCTTCACACGGGGAGAACAATGGCATTCTGCCCACAGAGGCAAGGCTATTAAAAAAAAAAAAAAACCCTAGAGGATTGGGCCAGATCTCACAGATCACTTTGGAAGTAGTCCAGACTGAAGCAAATTCAGGATGGGTGCACCCTGGGATCTAGATTGTAGTATTGCATGTTTGCAAGTGCCTCCAGTAAATCTCACCACTCGCTTATTGTAAAGGGTCTTTACAAACATGCATTAAGAATTGTCTCCACACCATCCTGCAGGTTACGCACCTGATGGCTATGTTGTATGTATGCTAGTTCCTTTGAAATTTCAGTGCCAGGGTGTGGGATAGTTACCAAAATATGGTAGCCATTCTAAAAGTTTGTCCTTTTCATCTGAGTAGAAGTTGACTTCAAACAGTCTGAAGGCTTAAGACAGGGGTGGGGAACCTATGGGCTCCAGCGGGGGTAGTAGCCCCTCCCCCTAGGTTTGAACCCCTGGATTTCTTACTTGAAGTCTGCTTAAAGCTGTATGCCCTGGCTCCAGGGGCAATTCTTAAATGCAAGGAGAGTTTGAGCTGCTTGCAGCTTTGCCTTTGGGGCAGGGAGTTTCTTTAAAGTAACACTGAAGGAGGCAGGTGATTAAGAAGGACAAAAGGCTGGTCTGTCAAATAATTGAAGGATCATTAGATCATCATGAAAACATTGCCAGGTACTTAGGAGGGGAAGGGCAGAATAGGAATGAGTGTTGTGCTGCTGGAATTTGTATTTGAATCACTGCTGTTAAATTTATAAAAAAAAAAACAATGAGTGGTGTTGTTGCACCTGAGAGGCTAACAAAAAAACTGCTCTTACACTTGTGAATGTTCTTGAAAAAGGGGTGAACAGTGATTAATCTGAAGCTGACTGACTGCAAAGAGTTACAAAGGAATCTCACAAAACTGGGTGATTGGTCAACAAAAAGGCAGATGGAATTCAGTGTTGATAAGTGCAAAGTAATGCACATGGAAAAATATAATACCATATTGCCTCTGTACAAAGTCATTATATGCCCACATCTTGAATACTGCATGTAGATTTGGTCACCCCATCTAAAAAAGATATACTGGATTTGGAAAAGGTACAGAAAGGGCAACAGAAATTATTAGGGGTGAGGAACAGTTTCCCTATGAGGAGGGATTAACAAGACTGGGACTTTTCAGCTTGGAAAAGAAATGACTAATAGGTGCGAGGTGTTAGAGGTCTAGCAAATCAAGAATGGTGTGGAAAACTAGAACATGGCAATGTTATTCCTTCGCCAACATAACACAAGAAGCTGACCCAATTACATTTATAGGCAGCGAATTTTAAAACAAACAAAACACACGTTTCTCCTTTTTTCACAGCCAATTTGCAGAACTCTTTGCCAGGAGATGGCGGAAAGGCTCAAATCATAACAGGGTTCCAACAAGAACAAAATAAATTCAAGAAGGTTAGGTCCATTAATGGCTACTAGCCAGAATGGGCAGGGATGGTGTCCCTAGCTTCTGTTTGCCAGAAGCTGGGAATGGGCGACAGGGGATGGATCATGATGATTGCCTCTTTTGTTTATTCCTTCTGAAGAACCTGGCAATGGCCACTGTTGGAAGACAGGATACAGGACTAGAAGGACCTTTAGTCTGACCCAGTATGGCCATTCTGACATTCTTATATAGAGATGAAATATATCTGTAACCCACTAGACCCTCCCCCCCCACACCCTTTCCAGAGCTGAGATAGAGCCCAGGAGTCCCGATGGGGTCTCTCTCTCCACCGAGCTAGTATCAAAGTAAAAACATAGCCTTAAAATTGTAATGTAACTACTAAGTTATCTACCAAAAAAGTAGAGTTTTCCAGTGCCTTAGTAGCCCCTCAATAGAGATGATGTGTGGGGGAGGACAGATGGGGTTGGCTTCTCTCCCCACATTTGATGCTTGGCTTGTATTGAGCATGCTCAGTAGCACTGCTGATGCCTCTGTCCTCAGTCCTCCCCCCCGTGCTCTCATTGTCTTCTCCCGACACATCACGGCATGCACAGGTTGCTTCCTCCCCCCCCCATCAAAATCGGAAATGCTGCCCCTGGGGGAGCCTCAGGCTCAGAGACCGGATGCAGCCACTGGCTTGCCTGGATCCAGTCCCGGAGGCTCAGCATTGGGGAGCCCGTGCTGGTGCTCCAGCCTCCCAGCCACCCACCACAGGGCTGGAATGCACACAGTCTACTAGCCTGCCCCCTCCCCCCCAGGCTCTGGTGTGTGAGGGGAAGGTGGGATGTGCCTTTTTTTCTTCTTCTTAGTCAGGGGCTTCTCACTTTGCTTCTCATTTGTGTGTGGCCCCCAACTGATTTTTTTCTGTCAGCATCTTCCCAACCCAAAAAAGGCTCCCTACTCCTGGCTTACAATTTCACAAAAACATATCCTCCCTTGCATCTAGCACAGGCCTGGGCAAAATACCCTCCACGGGCCAGATTCAACCTGCCAAGCTACCAGATCTAGGCCTCAGATGTAGCGGGGAGTCTCAGGCAGACTGCCTGCCTGCCTGCCCTCACCCACCCACACACACACACACTGCTGAGGGAAGCTATTGCTGGGTTCTGTTTGAACAGCTGTGAGCCTTCACATGCTGCTCCCGCCCCCAGCACTATCCCATTGGCTAACCCTAAGTTTCAGCCAATGGAACAGGCAGCATGCAAAGCACTCTTATTCCTGTCCTCAGGTTTGTAGCTGTTCAAAAACCACATGGTCCCTCAGTGGGATGGGGACAGGGACAGGGAAAGGCAGGCAGGGAGTCTGCTTGAGAAGGCTGCTGGCTAGGAGTCAAACAGGTAAGTCTCCCAGCCAGAGCCAGCCTCTGGCTCCCCAACCATTTGCCCTTCCACCCCACATAACCCAAACCCTCTGCCCCATATTCCTGCCAGATCTTGCACCCCAACCCCCTGCTGGAGGTCACAGCCCAAACCCCTGCACCCCAGTTCCCTGCCCCAAGTCACAATCCCCTCCTGCCCTAGGTCACACCCCAAGCTCCTCGTGCACCCTAGTCCTCTGTCCGAGGTCACAATACAAACTTCTACAGTCTAGTCTCTTAACCCAGATCACAACTGCCTCCTTCACCCAAACTCCCTTCCAGACCCCACACCCTCTCCTGCACCCCAGTGCCTTACTGCAAGCTCCCTTCTGCACCCAACCTCCATTCCAGACACCACATTTCCTCCATTAGAACAGAAGATCAGCCATATTGGGTCAGACCAAAGGTCCATCTAGCCCAGTATCCTGTCTTCCGACAGTGGCCAATGCCAGATGCCCCAGAGGGCGTTAACAGAACAGGTTATCATCAAGTGATCCCTCTCCTGTCATCCATTTCCAGCCTCTGACAAACAGAGACTAGGGACATCATTCCTACTCACCCTGGCTAATAGCCATTGATGGACCTAAGCTCTATGAATGTATCTAGCTCTTTTTTTGGACCCTGTTAAAGTCCTGGTCTTCATAACATCCTCTGGCGAGGAGTTCCACAGGTTGACTGTGCACTTCATAAAGAAAAAATTCCTTTTGTTTGTTTTAAACCTGCTATCTATTAACTTCATTTGGTGACCCTTAAGTTATGGGAACAAGTAAATTACTTTTTCTTATTCACTTTTTCCACACCAGTCATAATTTTATAGACCTCTGTCTTGTCCTCCTTTAGTCTCCTCTTTTGTAAGCTGAAAAATCCCAGTCTTTTTAATCTCTCTTTATATGCAACCTGTTCCAAACCCCTTATCATTTGTGTTGCCCTTTTCTGAACCTTTTCTAATGCCAAGATATCTTTTATTGAGATGAGGCAACCACACCTGTATGCAGTATTCAAGATGTAGGTGTACTATAGTTTTACGTAGTGGCAATAAGATATTCTCTATCCCTTTTTAAACGATTCCAACATTGATAAGGAAGAATGGAGCCTTTGACCATTTTCCAAATTCTCATAACATTGATATGGAAGAATGGAGCCTTTGACCATTTTCCAAATTCTTGGAGTGGCAAAATAAAAATTGATTGCCCACCCCTAATCTACCATATGGACTGTTATCCTCTCCTAGCACAAGAAGGCCCTTTTAAGAAGACTGTAAATTTGAAACCAGTGTTAGAGGATTTGGGGAAGCCTTCTGGATATTTTCCCCTTCAGGGAGGGGAATCTTTGTCAAATTTCTATCCCAGTGAAATCCCACTTGTTTTCCTTATGCCCCATAGTATCTTTGGGGTTGTGCTGATACAAGTCTCAGCCTGCAGCAGTGCAGAAAGTTGGCAATGCTGTACCGTGTCGCCCTTACGTCTCCACTGCTGCTGGTGGCAGTTCTGCTTTTAGAGCTGGATGCCTTGCCAGTAGCCACCACTCTCTCACCACCCAATCCTGAAGGCTTTGCCATTGTCTAAAGCAGCAGAGGAATAAAGGTGGCAATACCGTATCATGCCACTACTGCTTCTGCATAATATTTAACATTTGCTCGGGAGGGTTGGCTCCTAGGAAGGGGGGTTAAGGCACATTTTTGAGAGTCTATAGCCCCTACCAAGCCCCCTCTACCTCTCCTGAAAAGGGCTAGATCTTGATTTTAATATTCTCCCATGAATTGCACAGCTCCAGGTGCAGGCCAGAAAATTAGTGGTGACTAAGAATCACAGTTCATTACCAAGTTCCCATTGCTTGGGAAGAAAGCAGTAGTAGGTTATTGCCTCCTCTTTGCCAGCCCTCCTGTGGTGGTTGGTTTCTTGTAGTGGAGACAAGACTCTTTCCATTCTCCACTCATGCCTATCTACCTGAGGCAGCTCTCCCACATAGCCCAAGAGTGGGGATATATTGCACCCTTTATACATCCGCATGGATGCATAGAGCACCTGCTAATATTACACAAAAATGTAACTGGCCCTTTTTATATTACATATGTACTGTATTTGTGACTAATCAAATACACAGATGTCCACGAGTGACTATTAATCAGTGCTTGTTGCATAGAAAAATATTTTAATTAAACTATAACCAAGACCAAGGCTGCGCAAGACACTACATCAAGCATAATCTCTCCCTTTGTGTTGATATTGGCATTTTTTGCAGCTCTTAACATGAAATCCATTTCATGTGCAAGCAACTGTATAAAATAATGCTTGTTGCCATTGCACTCTGTTTAATGTATAAAAATATATTGGGTTTCCATTGCAGTTAGCATTTTAAAAAAGAATCATTTAAAAGATGAGTGTCTACAAAAATATAAGACTAGTTTAAACAGGTTTACCTGAGAGAACACAGATATTGACTCAAAATACATAAAGCATTCACACTTGCAGTGGGGGAAAGGCAACATTGGCACATTTTAAAGAAACAGGAACATATTGGTAACACACATCTGAAGTACTTATCACATATCAAATGCTTGTACAGCATAAAGAAAAAAATCTCGAAGCCCATCAAAGGAACAGTGCTCAAGCATCTAAAGGTACAAGCTGTACTTTGACAGGCTACTTTCCTTCAGTTTGATGTCACCTTGCTGAGGTATCTTCATTTTTCTCCCATTTTGGCCTAAAACTGATGTTTTGAGAAATCTGATCCTGCAAGATTGAAAAAGAAAGTTTGTTGTTATCCATGCAATCTGTTTAGGAATGCTAGGGTTATGTGACTTTATTTTGTCCTATGTGTGCATCATGCTTAATCTCAACCTCCTCCTTCTTTTTTAAATCTACTGGGGTTAAGCTATGTTTGAACCCTTCTTCTCATAACCAGACCCTTACCTTGTTTTAAGTTATGCCAAGACAATGGGATGTGCTTGGAATTTGATTGTTTTTCATAAAATGGAAAGGGAGAGGTCTGGTAGGAGGGAGTTATACTGTAGAATGACTACAGAGAAGAAGCAAGTGGCCAGAGAAGGGGACCAGGACATCTATAGCCCCATTGGATCAGCAGAGGTGGAGAAAGGGACAGAGATCTACTATATATTTCAGAGAGTTTGTGTGTCTGTACCCCAGCCAGGGTACATGCGCCTCTCCCTTGGCTATGCCCACTGCAGCGACCATGCCCAAACACTTCTCACTTGGCCCCAAGCTACTGCGGTGAGAGAGGGCTGGGGTTGTCCTCTCTCCCAGCAGCAGCCTGTGTACTGAACCCCTGCTCCTCAACCCCACTTCAGAACAATGATTTAAATGAAGAAAAAATAAAACTTGTTTGAGTTAAGGACCCGAGACACACTGGCTACATCTTCTAGTTTGCACTATAAATGTAAAAACTTTAAAAACAACAAATAGTCCTGCAGCACATTAGAGACTAACAAAACATGTAGATGGTATCATGAGCTTTCCTGGGCAGAACCCACTTCTTCAGATGAATAGAGTTAAGGGGTCCAGCTATTTATTTTACAACCTGCACTCCTTAACGCCATTCATCTGAAGAAGTGGGTTCTGCCCAGGAAAGCTCATGATACCATCTACATTTTTGTTAGTCTCTAAGATTCTGCAGGACTATTCGTTTAAGTTTTTTCAGTTACAGACTCACATGGCTACCCCTCTGAAACTTTAAATGTAAAAAGAGACATATGTAAATTATCATGATCAAATCCTTTGCATCCTTTAGTTAATGTAAGATGAGCAGAAAACTAGAGATAGTTGTATTGAATTGTCTGAAAATAGACAATTGAAGAATGGAACAATATTATGGATTAAGGGCTAGCACCGAATAGGTTAGTATTGTACATTAAAGTTACCTTGAGGATATGTGGGAAAATAGTTGGGGGATAGTAATTGTCTTCGGCCCATTCCATGGGACCTTGAAAGCACACAGTCTACATACATATCCCAAAAGTTCTGGGCTAAGTCATTGAAGAGTTCATTATGCTTCGCCTTAGGTGATTCTTTTAGGAACATCATGAAATCCCAGAGAGCAATGATAGCATCAGCTATCTTGAGTTTCTTCATTTCCACCAGCCTGTGAGAGGAGATCTCCCAGCATTGATGGTCAATCTCATCCAGACTTGCAGGAGGTTCTTTCTGATATTCTGGATTGGCATAAACCAAATTCACTATCAATATACAGCCCAATTGAAGGTACCACCTTCTTCTACATACAGAGTCCATGCTTCACACTGGTACCTAAAAAGGGACATAAAAACAATGACTCTCCCCTTCTCTAATCCTTTCTCGGATGTCTTTAAAAATATCTGAGATGATTTATCAATTGTCAAATGCAGTTTTCATTTCCAAAGCACTAGTATATATATTAACCAATGAATCTTTGCAATATGTTTGTGAAGCAGCTGAGTAGTAACTCCATTCCAGATGGAAAAATTGAGATTTAAAAAAAAAGTTAATTTACTTGCCACTAGTCCCAAACTATGCTGGCCTCGGCGCTGGTTTTAGAACCCAGAAGCTCTTACATTTAAGACTCCAGGGTTTAGGCCACCTTTCCACTCTGCTAGTATTCCCTGTAATCTGAGTGCTTGAGTGGCCAGTCAGGAGAGGTTCAAATCCTTAGGAGAATTCCCACAGCAGACCGAATGTGTTTGTACTGGTGGTGCACACCTGCACATGCCTTGGTGCATGTAACAAAATTTATTCTGCACACGGGTGGAAAAAAAATTAGAGGGAACATTGGTAGCAACCCTGTAGTCACGACAATTCCAACACTGCAGAGTATGCAGCTGTTATGAGCTCATCTACACTAGTAAAATTCTGACTCTGCTGGTGCAGATCTGCTCAGAATAACTACTCATGCTAAACCATCTGTTCCTCCTTGTCTTTAGATGTGACACTGAGTACATTTCCCAGACCTGAAGAAGAATTCTGTGTAGCTCAAGGTTTCTTTCTTTCACTAACAGAAGTTGGTCCAATAAAAGATATACTTCATTCACTTTGTCTCTCACAACAGCACAATAGCTAAAACACCTGAGCCCTTTCAACCACTTCCACTATGGGTACCATTGACTGAGCTACACTGATGGAAAATTACAAGGCTGAATGTTCTCACTATAGATATACCTAAGAAAGCAGCTGAGCTGGGAGACTGAAGACCTGGAGCCATGATGTACCTTGTAAATAGGAAGAACACTGTTGATGTGCTTCAGTACATAATATATTGTTTTTGTGTCTTTAATTGCTGATTATTAGTATAGTCAAACCCAAAGCAAGCACATTTTCACAATAAATCTGTTCTACTCTGATGCAACTTTTATTTTAATTCAATAATTATTCTCTCTACATATGTCCAGTGCATGAAAAGTGGTGCCCTAAAACAATTTGTGCAATCAGATTAATTATGTCTTATCGGCCTAATCCAAATCTCACTGAAGTCAATGAGAGCCTTTCTATTTTTTGGACAGGATATGTCATCTCTCCCTCAAGGGTTAGAGCTGTCTTCCCTATTTGAACCCAAGAGTCACAGACCTCAGAACTTTAACATGAAGTATTGGAAAACACCCATGTGTAAAAGTATTAAATAGCTATTGTTCTTTCAGGGATATGCAAAGTATCAGCTGCCTAACCATTTGGGGAACGATTAGCATTCAGTCAAGAGACCCATACTTACTATTCCTTTATTAATTGCTTGAAGAAGTCACTCTCTCAAATGCGGCTAGCTAGCCTACTCTCACAATACAAAGGCAGATCTGCAGGTTGGCATTAAGGTTGAGCTGTTCATGATGTCTCTGCAGACTAAACTTATATTCTCATTATTTGGATAGCACAGTAATTAAATATGTCTGTGAGAGCAGTGTCTTGAAAGAGCCTTTCATTGTAGTTCTCAAACAGCAGTGGCAAAACAGAGCATCTGCTTTCTATATCCAGCACTGCCACAGATTCACTATGGGACGTCTACACTGCAGCATTATTTTGAAATAATTAGCGCTATTCCGAAATAACTTAGTCTGTGTCTACACAGCAGGCAGCTATTTCAAAATAGTGTCAAAATACTGTCAAACTGGAGACTTCTTACTCGGACTCCTCTAACCCTCATTGTATGAGGAATAATGAGGAAGAGGGCTCTATTTTGAAATAAGTGCTGTGTAGAGGCTCCCTACTTCAAAATAAGCTATTTTGAAATAAGATACAATTGGCGTAGCTCAATTTGTGTAGCTATTTTCAAATTAAACCCTACAGTGTAGATGCACCCTTAGGGTACGTCTAGACTACAGGCTTTTGTTGACAGAAGTTTTGTTGACAGATACTGTCGACAAAGCTTCTGTCGACAAACAGCGTCTAGACTACATCCAGTTCTGTCGACAAAGCAAGCCGCTTTATCGACATGACAGTGTAGACGCAAAGGACAGTGTAGATGCAATAATGCCTTCTGTCGACAGAACTCTGTCGACAAAAGGAGTTATTCCTTGTAGAATGAGGTTTACAGCCGTCGACAAAACTGCTGAGTTCTGTCGACGTTATGTCAACAGAACTCAGCAGCAGTGTAGATGCAGGTATAGTTTTGTTGACAAAAGTCCACTTTTGTCGACAAAGCCCTGTAGTCTAGACACACCCTTACTGACCTTTGAGGTAACAACCTAACTGAGCCTATTTCTTTTTCTTTAACAATCTGTATATAATATGGTATAATAATATGAAGCTACTTTACAGGATTGTTAGAAGAATTAATGTTTTTAAAGCACTTTGCGAGCCTTGCAGAAAGGCATTACATACTGTTTTTTATAAGGGTCAGAAAGCAACAGCAGCTTCTCTTGGAGAGTGTGTTGGCCCAGAATGCAACTTTGGCTACGTCTAAACTGCAGCAATGCTGCTTCCTAGGACAACATCCGCTTTTCCGGAAAAATTTTTTGGAAAAGTGGATGCACTCTTTCGCCATCCCTGTAAACCTCATTCTATGAGACGTAAGGGATGTGTCAAAAGAGCAGATTTTTCCAAAATTTGATGCCGTGTAGTTGCGCCACATTTTGGAAAAGCGTCTTTTGAAAGAAAAACAGAAAAAGATACACAAATTGTGATTCGCATTTTGCATATCTTTTTCTGATTTTTCTTTGTAGTGTAAACATAGCCTTTGTCACTGATTTCCAGCTTATGGGTAACAGTGTTAAGCATCTGATGAAGTGGGTCTTTGCCCATGAAAGTTTATACTCCAATACATCTGTTAGTCTATAAGGTACCACAGGACTTCTCATTGTTTAAGCACCAGCTGGTTACATTTGGAATGCAGCAGCCTAGAATGGCTTCAGCTGTAATACCAAAATTAAAAACTTAAAAAGAAGCAAAAGACAGAGAACTGTTTCAAACCCAGCAGCGGCAATAAGACTGGCAAAACATCCTTTTGACACTTCAGTCCCAAGACCATTCTCAAACTTTTAGCTCTAACTCAGGGATCATTGACACTTCCCCTGTCATGATGCTTGCTGTTCTTTAGTGGATTGTATGTTTTTCTTAGCCACTCCTCCCACAATGCCAGGAGGCTGGAGACAATAGAGATACATAAATAAGATGAGGAAAAAGATGATAGTAAAGTTCAAAAACATTTTTCCCTCATTTTGGGGTGTCACCTAAATTCCACCCTGCATATTTATCTGTTGCAGCATTTATATCCACACTTTTCACCACAGTCAGATAGTCCTTTACCAATTCTTAAAGTAAAAACAGCAAAGAAATATGTGAGCTACCAACTTTGAGTAGTGTCCTCTAAATGCAAAATTAGGAATTTGGACCAAAAAGAGTTTTGCCCTGGGTCCTGGGAATTTGATCTCTCCCCCAACCAGTTTTCTTCCAACCAGAATGATTTTGTGGGCCAATAATAACAACAGCAACACATTTTTCAAAATGCTTGCAACTAATCCCTGATTCACTCTAACTACATATATATGAGCTGGGTAGCTACTAATATTGATTCTAATTCTGTTCTAAACCTTCCTTTTGGTACTGGTTAGAGGTCAGTTGATTATATTTTCTTCTGCAGATTTGTAAGCATGTGTTCAAGTTCCTCTGAATGTTTCTGTTCTTGCCTGTATTATTAGAAAGCAGTATTCAATAAAACAGCAAGGATGGAAGTATGTATCTTCCTCACTTTCCCTTCACTAGTACAGTAAGACATGTCAGTGCCATGGTTATAAAGTAGTAAATCAACAGCTTTAAAAGAAAACAGCTGCCAAAAACTGAAAACAAAAATTGCAAAAGTAAATTGCCATTTGAATCCCCAAACCAGGCACAAACTACTCATGACTGGGACTTGACAAGTCATATGCCAACAACTGCCACTATTTCAGCAGATTAGTTTTATGAAGGCAATACTTTAAGTAACAAAGTGAAATACTTACAGGGTTACTGTGGTGAGAATAATTACTCTGCGTCGTGAAACTGGAGTGACCAGCCACTTGTAGAAAAGGAAATAAAGTCCTGAACTGGTTGCTGGAGTCCAGGAGACTGAAGAGGCTGCTGCTCTAGGGAAGTTGAAATTGCACTGCACCAAACCTAGGAAGACACTGATGCTGATAAAACAGCAACAGCAGAAGCATTATCTCCAGCCAGTGGAAAAGGAGAGGAGAGGGGGGTATTGATCTGAAAGTCCCGCCCCTATGTACATCACCTTCTCTGAATCAGTCTGGCCCAAATCCCTGTTCCCTTGTCCCATTCAGAATGTGTGTAAGGTGTGGGTGGAGTTGGACAGAGATGCAAACTAAAAATGTAACTGGTCACATCTCTCCAAATCATTAATGTGCAGGAAGGCTCTCCCCTGAATACTAACTTCAACCTGCCAAGATAGTTTCAATATTGCAATTCCCTCAGTCCTCTGGGTAGATTCTGTCCTGTTCTGTGTTCCCAGTGTGAGGACTTGACATTTTAAAGGGTCACACTTTCCTGTTATTTGAGATACTCAGAACATGTACTGCTTTCCCTATCCACTCTCCAGGTTAGTGCATTAAACTTATTATCCTTACTGGTAATTTAGCCCCAGTCAGATGGAAAACCACATCTTTAATAGTGACAAGGAGTCCTGTGGCACCTTATAGACTAACAGATGTATTGGAGCATAAGCTTTCGTGGGCAAAGACCCACTTCATCGGAATTTCCACTACATGCATCTGATGAAGTGGGTCTTTGCCCACGAAAGCTTATGCTCCAATACATCTGTTAGTCTATAAGGTGCCACAGGACTCCTTGTCACTATTAAAGATGTGGTTTTCCATCACCTTCTACTATCCTGTATGTCCATGTGCGTGTGCACACACACACACACACACAAAACAAGACGAGACTTCAGATTTATGGAAAATGGGCTTTTCACCTGGGACACAGACCCCAGTAAAATGTCACTGATTTGAGATTAATTATTAGAGAATTCCCCTGATTTGGGGTAATGTTATAGCACTTTTAAAAGTCTCTAGTTTCTCCCTCTGGTAATTTAAATTCTTTTCTGTATATGATTCAAAGGAATACTTACAATCTCATTCTCACTCATATGTTGCTACAGGCCCTGAATCCGCTCCAGAAAATTGGAACAGAAACCAGGGCTGCTGGCACAAAACAAGGCACAAGTTTATTGGGGAGGCAAACCAGCTACCCCAGTTTTTAATTAAGCCTTGTTGATGTTGCTTTTGCTTCTTTACTAGTGATATCTTATTGCCCAAAGAAAAGATGGTTATTTTGTAATAGCTAGTACACATGTTTCATATTACATATTTTGTAAGGTGGTAAGGATTTGGTGCAATGGGTGTTTTAGTGTCTTCTATATTAGCTTCTGTTGCTATGCCCACTCTGGAATAAGTCAGAGTAGAAAAGCAGTTTGACTCACATGTGCACTGGAAAGCATTCCATTTCCATAGCAGAAGGAGAGACTTCTGAAGCTTAAACTTTGTATTAGCTCTTCTGACATGAGTCAAAGCTCTTCACTCATATGACTACTACAGCATGCATGACAACATAGGCCACATTATAGTCATTGTCATAACAGGAATCAGCTGCATCACTCAAAACAGGCAGTGTCACTGCGCTGCCAATGAAGGGGACTACACACGTAGTAATCATCGAGGGAGGCAAATGCTCAATCCCCTCCCCCATACCAACATACTTAAAACTTTATGTACTTCCATGCCTCTTCCTTCCTAGTGGTAGGAAGGATTCTGTTGGATTCTTCCTGTTCAGTTCTTGGTGCTGTCCCAACCGATAGTCTTATAAAAGCACAAGACTGAGAGTCAGGAGATACAA